AAGGTGATATATGAGCAGCAATATTTGAGTGCCTCTTCTCATATCTGAACAAAACAAGTAAAAACAGAGGAATCAAAATAAAACTCCGAGCATACAACTACACTCGTACAAAAAATTTAACTGGACATCAAAGTATGACAGAATAGTACCTCTGATACTTTTTTATAAAATGAAGATAATTTCGCCTAACAATAATAGTCCTTGTCATCTTAGCACTGTGACATGTTCCAGCTAAGATACGACCCCGGATGGAAACAGTGCCAGTGAAGGGACATTTCTTGTCAATATAGGTTCCTACATGGGAAAAAAGGATTAAATCAAAGAAAGACCCAGGTTAAGAAGTAAAAATGACCATCATTGCATACAGAGAGAAATAACTAAGTCTAATTCATATTTAATGATACAATTACATAAAGATAATAGCATGAAATGGGTAATGCCGAAAAGAGTTTTAACAATCAGCCTCCACTCATTATTCTATTTGTAGATTAGACCTATTTCCCAACAATGCTTGAATGATACAACACCAGACCATCCTTTTTGTTAAATAAAAAAAACTAAGTACGTGAATATACAAAATTACTGCCCAATCCTTAATTCCTATAGATAAAAGGTTATAGCTTCATGTTTCTTTAAGAACCATTTCAATAAAACAACATGCAATCCAACTTATCAGATAGCCACTTTCTTAAAGTAGCCCTTACTTAAGACAACTTCATTTTTTAGGAAATGTACATCTTCCCCAGCTGATTCAGCTCACTGGAGACAAGAGATAAGTTTATAACGTGTACCATAAAAAATAAACAAAGATTCCCAAACACACTACAATTAGATCAGCATGAAAACACAAACTTTCACGATAATGTTGCAAACCAGGGACAGATCCATGGGCGAGCCTCCTCATCCAAAGTAATTTTTCAAAATTATATATAAAATATATCTAATCATATAATTTCGTTACGTTTATTTCGGTAATATATTTGTCTTAAAAGAAATTAGTCTCTAACAATTAACTATTGATATATTTATTCCATGATAAAAATTATAACATATGTACACATTTAAGTATATTTATCTTCGGTACCCCAAACTTAGTTTCAGGATTTGTCCCGCTAACATAGAGGACTCATGTACGAAGACGACTATGGATATATTTATTCCAGGATAAAAATTATAACATATGTACACATTCAAGTATATTTATCTTGAGTACCCCAAACTTAGTTTCAGGATTTGTCCCGCTAACAACATAGAATGTGTAGCAAAAATTAACAACTAATAGAGGACTCATGTACGAAGACGACTAGATGAGTATATAACTTTAATTTACAAACACCTCACATACCTCAGATTTAATGTTTTATTACAATATGAAACACATGTCCACAGCAATAACCAAATAGATTAACCTTGCACATAGACATTTTATAAGTGAAAAAGATGAGAGGGATAAACATATAAAAACCTTCAATGGCTTCTCTGGGAGTCTTGAATCCAAGCCCAATGAATTTCCAAAAGCGATTCCCACCTTTTCCAGGTCTCTTTCCCTTCCCAGATTTCTTCGAACTATGAAAACCAGCAAAACAACAAAAACCATTCAGCACCAATGCTGGAACGAAAAAAGTTAAAGAAACAAAGCATTATTAGGTGCATTTGGTAAACCTTAAAAACACTTTTGGTTGCTTAAGAAAAGCCTTCTCAGTCTGTAATACAAAAATTAGGAAAACGAAAATATCAGGAGAAGATCGAAACGAGGCCTAAGCATTATTGAAAAAACGAAACGGTGAAAAGGAAAACGAGATATGGAAGTATGCATACTTGTTCAGCCATGGTGAAGAGAGTTGTCGGCCAAAAGTTGCAAAAGAGTGTGTGTGAGTAATGCGCTCAAAACCCTAATGCTTCTCTATTTTAATTCTGGGCTTTAATAAGTGGGTTACACAGCTTAGCCCAAAAACCAATAAGCCTTCTCCCTGAAGCCCAAATTGAGGGGATGTTAAAAGGATTGTCCAACTGTATACTAATATTTAGACAGTTTTTCAATGCTGTCCAATTTCACATATTAACACAAAAAACAATGGTATTTTTTTTATTAAAATGTACAATATTTAATAATAATAATACATTAAACTATATAATATATTTTTATTCTTAATAATAATAATAATAAAATAATTATTATATATTTTTATTGTCTATTTTTAAACGTATTTTAAAATTATTGATATGTAAAAAGTCAAAATCATTGACCAAAAAAAGTAAAATACACCAAGTGATTACTTCAGTATGAGGGTACCGAATCCTTCTATTTGAAGAATAAAAATTAGTCCATGTGTAAATATTAAAATTATATTATAAATGAGTTAAAATTAGTTTTAATGATGTTATAAAATTTATGCATATAAAAGAATCGTTAGGATTTACTTTAGTTTTTTTTTTAAATCCGATAGTTGCATGGTAAACTAAATTAAAAATAATAAAAATAAATGTTAAACTATAATTTTAATATTTAATAGAAAATGTATTATTATAAAAATATGATAAAATATATTTGTATTGGTGAGATAATTTATGTAAGTAGTAATATTATTATAAAATTGTAATATTACTAATAATTATAACATAGTTATGAAATTTTATAATTTCTAAATATTTTAAAATTAATATAGTTTACCATGTTTGAACATAAAATTTTTATTATTTAAGATTTAATATTTTTTATTTATTTTGTTAAAATGATATCCGATAAAATAATTAAGTTTTAATTATATGATTTAAAAACTCATATATAAGGTTTTTATTCAACATATATATATTATATACATTTTTAAAAATTTTGACATTTAAAATTAAAATATATTATTAATCACACATTCACATATTGAATTAATACTATTAAAATCATTTTTATTAAATTCTGTTCAATAAAAAAGATGATAATATATATAGGGTGAGTTCTTTGGCAATTAAACTTTAATAATAAATAATATCGTTGGTTCTATGTCATTCATAAAACAAATTTTATAAATATATTTATTTCTTTTTAATTATTTCACATAAAAAGAGTAATGGTATCCTTTCAAATATAGAAGCACTATAAAATTTATCCCCAAAAAAATTACACCGGATATGCTACTTGTTGTGAAGCCTTCAAGATATTCCTTCGTGTCCAAAAGAATCTATATTACTATATATTTGATTGAGTTTTTTTAAATAAATAATTTATTTTTAAATGTATAAAAAAATAAATGAATGTTTTTAAGAATTAAAATAAACATGGCTTTTATTACAAAATGTAAAAATTCATTAAAGTTCTTTATAAACATAAATTGAACAAAAAAATACCATGGGAAGTACTGAGTTAAGAGGGTTTTGTATTATTATAATGGTTTAGTTTTAATGTATTTTCAATGTAAAATTTTTTATACAATTAACTAATTAGAGATTATTGTAGATGTGAAGTTTAAAGTAGTTCTTACAAAAGTTAATAGCTAATGACGATATACAAATTCATAATTAAATTATAGTATAATTTCTTTTTTACATTATTAATATATCTCAATTAAATTCTCACTATGAACTGTGAGATGACGCTGAATTTTATACGTAGAGTTAGATACACAGTTGAAGCATGTAAGCTAGTTTATTTAACGCATGAAATATGTATATGAGTTACGATTAAGTACATTGCTAAGTCTATTTAAACATGGAAAATGTTTATTATTACGAATTGGTGTGACACGAAATGTAACACAAAAAACTGTATATGCAGTAACTGGCTTTGATTTCCGTCAAACTCCTTTAAAAAATAATAATAATATTGTTCAACTAATTTGTCTACGCGTGCATTTGTACTTTATTCATGAAAAGCACCTTGTACTCAAAACGTTGTTGTCAATGGCTAAAAGATACTCATAATTACACACAAAGGCAAAAAAAGAAAAAGAAAAAGAAGGTAAGGTTAACAACATGAGCTGTTGTTTGGTATAATTTTTAATCAGGTCTCATGTTAATCCCCAAATATTAGTAAAGCCATCACTATTTTACGTAAATTAACCCTTTAAAAATGGAAAGTGGTATCAAATTTTTATCTTCAGACTCATTAAATGAATTAATATGATTTTTTTTTTATGCCTGAAAGATTAAATTATTATTAATTTTATGTCATTTAAATATTTAAATATTAAAATAGAATACTTTTAACCATATTGAGAGTCGTTATATTTTGAAGGGAATCAGCAAGTGAAAACAAAATTTACTGGAAGCATTATTTTGTTCATTTAAAAGTAAGCAGTCAAGATAATCTAAAGCTGAGAAATTTGTGCATTCAACGACTAGTGCAACAAACTTCAAAAGGCCTGCAGATTCACTTATCGTTACATGAATTAAGCATGTGTTTGATTACCCGATGGAAAGGTTACTAACGCATGTCCAAAGTCCATAATCTACTCTATTAGGATGTTTGAAACCACATTTGAATTATTCCAAAATTATGTTAATATAAAAGCTGCAATTAGTAATGTTAAAATAAATAACATTTTATTATCTCCATCTTTTGAATTTGTATTAAAAAAGTATGCAATAATCACATTAAAGTTATAAAAACATAATAAATAATTTTTAATGAAATATTACTATTTTTAAATACTTCAACTCGTCTATACTAGTTAAAATTGATATTTTTCACAATTATATTAGGCTGTTTGTGTGGTTGGCGAAGCCGAGTTTGAGAGTGAATGCGAATTCTAATACATAAAGGCAGTTTTGTCTGAAAAAATCTTACAGTCGGTCAAGACTCGAGACACTGCAACTAAAAATAGACCAATAGTAGTAGAAGGTAGCAACTACATTTACAGGAATTACAACTGACATAATGTCAATACCCGCGTCTCAATCGTTGCTTTCTTGAAATTAAAATTCTTCCTAATCAAAAATTGAGAAACGTTTCACGTAGTCCTGTTTCAACCTCACGGAATTATAGTAAGAAATTAGACTAACTTTAAAAGACGCCAAATGATATTTATATGATAGCTAATATCGATTCAAATGTTGACTTCTATTACCAATTCCAAGCATAAACTGAACTGAATTTAGGGTAAGCTCAATTCCAATGCCAATAATATACAAAAAGTCACATTCGGACAGCAGTCTTAAAATTTTGTCTACAGAAGGAGAGAGTGACATAACGCTTGATGTAGATAATTACACAAGCGTATACTACCAAATTGACATCATGAGATCCACCCTGAATTCTGTTTCCTATGTTCACAATCCTCCTCGACCGAACATTATCCTCTATATTACTCCGTCTGCATCAAGAAGCCGTGTCATTATTCAAAATTGTAGTCGTAATAATAATAAAAAACAATTCAAAACATGCAGTGAGGGGGGGGGGGGGGGGGATGAAGTTCCATCACGTTATCTACCAAAATCAATAAGATATTTGAAGTCCAAGCTACCTAAAATATGAGCAAATAAAAATATCAACCTTGTTCGATAATTGAATCTGTATTTTCGACGTAAGGGCTGTTGACAAATTATCTTCGTCTGAGATGTTATTCTAAAACTAAATTCAGTCCACATTTGATGGTAGATAAGATTCACTGTAAGATTACACTGGGGGGGATAAGATCCAACAAAATCCCACCTGAGACAGACTAGTATTGTATAACTGCTAATGAATAGCAGACACACGATCATGGGATCAGAGACACCATAGGACGACCCAACAAAGAGAGCAACATATATCCTAAGTACACATTCACTCTCCCATAGAGTCCCATGCTGGAGTTGTGAGCTGTCACTGAGTGAGTGCCAGGGCACCTGTTGTAAGTATCCACCCCTTTGCCCAATGGAAATTGGGAGTAAGGAAAATGGAACACACTAGAAGTGACAAAGGAAGAACATTAGCAAATCAGATCCTCTGAACTTAATCCTTGTGACTAACCAAATTTCTTGTACAAATCTACCTTGTACAAGTCTAAATATATTCATCTCATACATGTGATAAAAATATATTGAATGTTCAAATAATTAGACAAATCTTTAAGCATAGTTTTATATTAATATATTAGAAAAAGGAAGTGTTAGAAAAACATTTAGAGTGATAGAGGTGGTGGTAAAATCATGCCTAAGATAATTTAGACGTGTGTAAAGAAGGAAATTAGACATCCCTGGTACAGAAGTTCAGATGAATGATAGCCCAGCAATTAAAGAGGCAAGAGTAGAACAAGAAAGACTCTTAAGCGGAGCCATTAAAAAGAATCTAGAATTAAATGGCCTCTTTAAAGAATTGGTTACAAACAAAAAATGATGTCATTTGATTTCTGTATCTGACAGTCTTACACCATGAATAGGATTTGGTGGTTGTTACTATTCTATCGTAATTGTCTATTATTAACAATTATGATGCAATGCAGATGTAATTCAACCTAGAACCTAACTGATAACCCTAGCCAGGGTTTTAAATAAGCCTTGCTCAACATCAGTTTACAAACTCAAAAGTAGAAGAGAAACCTTTTGACGTTTTGGATTTGGGGGACTTGGTTCAGAACCACTCCGTCTGAGTGATGTCCCAGCATCAGTTTCAACCTGCGCATACATAAACCGGTCAGCTTCATTTCTTTTTTATATGAGGGTAATTGCAATATTTAACTTTCACAACTAGATGTTATCTGGTTGACCAAGGGAAAAAGAATAAGAAATTCTCCTGCATAATATTGCCTGATTGTTTTTGCTACATTACACATGTTCAGAAACTTCCTCGGGAGATCCAGTGGGATTTGAATATTAGATACAAAAATTGGAATTCCCACTTTCAATAATTGTATACTAAGTGTGCGTAAGTCCAGAAGCTCTCACGGTGGGTGGGAGAGGCTTCAGCAGTTGAAGTTGACATAAGAGCAAATGTAATTACACAATAGAATCGGGAAAGAAAGCAATGAATCATGCCAACCTGGGTTGCAGAATCTTGAGCCATATGATCTTCCGAAGGATTTCCCTCAGACCCTAATTGTTGACTTATGACTGGCATGATCTCACGGAGTATGTTAGACAAAAAAATTCCTTCGTCACTAACATTAGGCTGTGCTTCAGGGACTTGGGCAGCACCCCTTGATGTTGCAGCGTGATCTGAGGTAGAACCTGCATTTGTCCCTTGTACACTTGAATCTTCCACATGAATTTCTCCACCAGGAAAGAGTGTCCTTAAAAACTGAAGTACACTGCTTGGTATTTGTCTCTCAGATTCTTGGTTGTTTTGAGGCCCACTAGCAGCCAGAATATTGATATTTACAACTCGAGAATTTGATGGCTCTTGTCTCGTGCTTGGAGTTGATAAGGATCCTAAAACAGAGTCCAATGGCAAACTAAATATAATCAAATTATGTCCTGAATATCCTTACAGTATATATCCCATAATTTTGAAGTCATCAAAATAAGTAATCATAAGCTATATGAGCAGCAATTGAGTGCTCACAAAGATATGAACTACATGAGCAACCTATTGATTGATCACAAAGTGATGGGCTATATGAGGAATCTATTAAGTGCTCACAAAGGGATGGAGGCATGGAACTACAAAGAAAGAAACAAACACACAAGCAACTGGACTGAAGAATAAAAAGCCATACATTTATAGAAAATGTTTTTCTAAAAGATACACTTTAGAAGGTTTGTGAGAGTAACAACAGTCATAATATTTCTCACCAAATTAATAAAAAATATTGACTTCAATAAAATACTTCACAAGTACAATATCACATAAGTTATCTGGAAGCTATCTTTAGCAGACAACTCATAGCCGTCAAGAAGGGCATCACATCCAGATACAGTAAATTCAGATAGTTAATGAGTTGGATCAGTCCACCAACAAACATCACTAACGATCATATATCTTAGGGAACTAAATGGAATATTGCGATAAAGAGTTTGGGAAAGAATAATATAAGCAATTGCAATTGAAACTTGAGTCGTTACATTTGAAATGCCTTCTTTCTTATGTGATCCTTTGATCCCATAATGCTAATGAGTATATTAAAGTCTTTAGACTTGATAGAGATTTGAGGGAATTCCAGTTTCTTCAATTACTATTTTACCTACATTGTCTATTTCCAACTTCAATTCTTTCAAGTAATTATTATTGATGTAGAATCATTGCATTGAAACAAATCATGTAGACTACTCTCAAATTTGCAATACAGGAACTAAAAATAGAAAGAATATAACACCAAACTGTGTAGCACTGTATCTTCGATCAAATTCAATTAAGCGCCAACTATTTTGGCAAATTACAAAACAATACTTTTGGATTGCATAATTTACATGCCAGTAAGGGGAAAAAATACATGTCAAACTGGAAACTTCAAATACAAGGAAGCAATCATCTGTTTCAAATGTTAAAAGGCATTTGTTAAATTACCATTCCTCGCAGAATCTTCTGTGCTTTGCCTTTGCAGTGTGGATTCAGGAGTTGAAAGTAGAGCAGCATGATGCTGACTGGATTGTTGAGATACATGTTCACTATTTGCATGCCCAGTAGATACATGTTGAAATCTCCCAAGTACTGGATAGTAAAGCCCTATGGAATTACCAGATGATTCCAAAGGCGGACGACCTAAGGGTCCTGGTACAGCTGCAACCATGGTTCTAATTGGCACTAACCTTACTCCTGGCTCCCCAGAAACAGATGCATCTGGACGCCTATAAGTTGTTTGATTAACAGAACTTTCACCTGGATTTCTTTGTATTGAAGCAGATTGCGTATCATTGCGTTCTTCTTGATTGGTACTGGATGGGGTTGTCGAGGTACCTAATATTAGAAATGAAGTTAGACATTTAGAGCAGTAAGCAAAACAGCAATTAGAAAGAAAATAAAAAACATATAATGTACCTCGCCGTATTTGTATATCAATACGCCTAGGGAGAAAACTTGAACCAAGTCCACCACCTAAACTTGAGTTAGACTGTGCAGCTCCCACAGGTACAGCACCAAAGCTTGGCCCAGGTTGAATAGGAAGGGGCTGGAACCATGCAATTTATTAAGGAACAGCACGATAGTTGTCATGACAAGAAAGATCAAAGAACAAGAATAACCTGAACCATGATATGGTTAGGACCATTTGGAGATATAAAAACTGCAGGCCCACCGTTAACTACAGCTTCAGACTGCATGAGAAATTAGTAAGTAGCACAAACAGAACAGTTAATTAACAAGCTGTCAAGGATGGGAAGTCATGCCTACCGGGGTTTGACCCAAACGCAATGTCATGGTTGTGCGACCCAGCTCAAGTAAAAACGCACCAAGGTTATAAAACAAAACTCCAGTTCTCAAAGCCCTAGACTGAATGCTTGACCGCAACAAGGGATCAGTTACATCTGCTTGATTCTCCAATTGCCTTGAGAGTTGCTGTGAAGTATAAAATGAACACAGCAAATTTCTATGTTTAGCATAATAAAGCAATATCTATATACCTAAAGCTACTTGCAAAAAGAATGCAACAAATAGAAAGAATAAATTCTTCTTTCTGGTATTATCGAATTGTTACATTGTCAGTTCAACTACAGAAGAAAAATCTTAAGTAGATATTTTAAAACGCACAAGTAGGTATTCCCCAGCTTGTTCAACGATCATTCGTCTGGTAGAAAGCAAGACTTCTGCCAAGGATGAGGGTGATGAGAGCCCTTCTGGAGTTGAACCCGAACGTGAAGAAACAGATCCCGTTTCTTCATTCCTACGTGCCTCAGCTGCTTGGACATTATCCCCCCCTTCTCTGACTGCCAGTAAAATGTGTTCCATGTCTTTTTAAAAGAACAAACATATGGCAGGAGCCAACCAAGGATAACTATAAAATTCAACATTGTATGCTTACCAATTGCATCAAATTCATGGCTTATATGACTTAGGTACTGGGACAACGTTGTCAAAGAATCAGGAATGACCTACAAAACCATATATAAATAAATAAATTTAGATTTCCACTCAGCAAGAGTGAGAAAGACTCAAATGTCAAATTTAGAAGAATATGTAAATCTGAATGAAGTAAATAAGAAACCTAGCACATACAGAAGGCTGCAAGGACCCTAGTGATATTGTTGCTGGAAGTCCAAAGGTATTACGCGATCTATCAGAAGAAAACCGCAAACCAGCTTGTTCAGGTTGAGGATGAGATAAATCCAATATTCCACCAGAACCCAAAGTTCTTCCAAAGCCTTGGGAATCATGATCCTTCATCCAATCCAATATGCCCAAGATGTCATGTTAAAGATTTTCAGATAAATCATAAATAGACAAAATAAGAAGGAACAGAAAAGGAGGGTAAGACATCATCATTAGCATAGACAACAAAAGAGAATATATATAGATAGATCACTCTACATTTCTATGTATATCTATAAGCACTTTTGACAATCTAAAGTTGATTCATCTCCTGAAGTAAGTCAGATGAATGCTTAAAACTGTTAATATTATGTTTTCTGTTTCTTTTCATCTTGGAAACAGCCTCTCCACTAAATCCCAATACTCTAATTGGGAGCCAAGTGCATTGACCTTTCTCTTTTCCATCATCTCTCTCTCCCAATGTCCCTTCCCACCCTCTCCTCTCATTGTCCTTTTCCTCTTCATTTTCTGAACATATGTTTTATCCCTGCTAATTGTTCGCTTCTTTAGTATGTTTGAGTATCAACTATACTCCATAACACACTTTTTATCAGGTTTCTTTCCTTTTCTTTTTTGGCAGGGGGATGGGGGGTTTCACTATTTGTCATGCATCATAAAATTGTCACAGCCCCACAATACCCAAAAGAGTAAAACTAAGATATAGAAGGCCAAATTACCCTGACATCAATCCCTTCACTGCCACTTGCAAAAGTTGGAAGTCGAATAGATCCTAGAACGGCAGAAACAATCTGCACAAGAAAAAGATAAAAGATAAAGTTTCATATGAAAAATAACATCTCAATGTGCCCCGTTTCTCTTCTGATTTTAAATATACCCTATCGATTTCGGGAGGAACTGCATCCCCCTGAATGGGCAAATTGAAAGTTTCAATAAATACACCAGGGGCTATTTGACTACTGTGACCATGGCTTGTGCTTGAATTTGTTTCAGTCACTGCAAAATGGATGTGTAGTAGTAAATACCTTATGTCTTTGTATCAAAGGAAAACTATCATTTGGGTGGGCATGTAGGTACACCACAAAACAAGACAAGATTAACTACAAAATCCCATCTGCCCCACACCCTTAAAAAAATATAACGGTAATTAACAAAATGCCCCAGAGGGAAAATTATTAAATATTAAGCAACTTTCTTTATTTTCTTCCTTTACAAATTAGGCGTGATGTTAAGGAATATTTTCCAACACAAACTTAGGTAAAAATTTTGCAGAACTAAACTGATTATCTACTCTAATTAATCATCTTACATCATTCTCCAGGCACAACATTTAAATTTGAAAACCTAATTTGTCAGCAAGCTGAATATAATTCACATTTATTCTCCCCCATGCATGTTTTTATAAGATAGGAACACATTAAAAATGTGTTTGGATACACAACTAAATTTAACACTTATTTAATAAACTTTTTTTACATGATAACTTATGTCATAAATTTAATCATGAAATTTATTAAGATAAACTAAGAAAAACTTATTTTGATAAGTTATACAAAAAAGCTTATTGAAATGAGCTAAAAAGAGCTCATGAAAATCACAAGTTATCTATAAGCTCTTTCAAACAGACCTTAAGTAACTTCAAACAAAAAATATCTTCTTTAGAAGAAAGGCAAACTGAGGCTACTAACCAATGAAAAAAACATGGGCAACTAGAGCAAGAACACAAAAGTCTCACATTAACTACAATAGTAAGTGATAATATACATAATCACATCAAACCTGAATGATGGAGCACACTTCCAGGTGGTGGTAGATCAGGTTGCCTTGCAACTAGATGCAGAGTGTGACCATCTTCAACATCTACTTGTGTCAGGGAAGAAACCTATGTTGAAGAAAGGATATGAAAAAGATAGGGACATAGTTACAAGAATCAAGTACAATTGACAGAAGAATAGCAGCAACAAAACTTGTTGGCTGTAACAACCCATGGCTTTTGAATTTAATCAAATATAGGATTTAGCATTAATAGAAACCCTAGCATTTGCAAACTTAAGTGATTAACAAGCATGCTTAATTGTTTTGTTCATAAAATTAATTAATGATAGATATTTAATATTAAATTACATGGAAACAAGAGACAAACTACACCACTGACATATATTTTAACTCTCACACGCATACTTCTTAATCAAGGTGCAAGCAAATTTTTTTTTTTTATATGTGCTAGAGCCTTTTGCCTAAAAAATAATTTTTTTATGACAAGATGTTTAATGACAAAATAAGGTCCACAGGTGCTTACAGTAAGGATCACATATAGTTTTACAAACATATAAAAGAAGAAATGACTACAAAAGCTAAAAACACAGCCTGGCCAGACAAGTAAAAGGAAGACAAAAACTGTAATATTGGCTTCCTTTGTAAATTCCTTGAACACAAAGTAGAAAGACGAGAAAGAAACAGGATACGATAGGCAGACAGGAGCTGATCATCCTTTAGAACTTTTCCTTGGCAAATTAAGCGTTGCCGTTCTGATAACACTCCGGTTACAGAAGCAATTTGTTCTTTCAAAGCAGGGACTGGCATCTACAGAACAGGAAAAATTGTTGGATGGAGGGGCAATTAGTTAGATCTTCACCCAAGTTGTTAGGTAAATAAAAGATGCCAGCCTAATGATCAAGATGCTTTAATCAGTCATGCAGTTAACATCAAACGAATAAGGATGCATTTGGATAAGCATTGAAAAAAGGTGCTTTTAATGATATAATTTTTATCAGGTTCTTTTTCAGAAACTACTTTTTCTAGCTTATGAGAAAAACATTAAAATAAATTTTATTTTAGATTTTTGCATTTTTTGAAAAACATTTATTTATTATCATTTTTAAATTTAAAGAAAATTTTCTTTTAAAAAAGCAAACTGGCCCTCAATCTTTGGGACGGATTAGGATGTTTCTGCTTGAAGGGGGAGCAAGAAGCAAGATTACATGTACAGAAACTAAAATAGTCTACTCAAGAAATTGAAAAAACAAGTGACCAAACATTATATGTTGTAAAAAAATACCTGTTTATCCACTCTGAGGGTGTAAGTTTGTGAATCCAATGTTTTAATCTTTATCTCGATAGTAGTTTCGGAACTTTCAGCATTGTTATTGCTGGGGATCTTTTCAGTACCGTTACTTCCCATTTTCCACGTAATACCCTATAAAATGAATATATTCATACATACAAACAAACATACATAAACAGAAACACACACGTCATAAACCAGCATAGTTCTGTCAATATTTCTTTTTCTTCCATGACATAAGAAGATTACAGAACAAATAATGTGAAACTGATAGAACAATACAAAAACAAAGAAATGTATATTGCCATATTTGGAAAAGTACACACAAGACAACAGCTTGCTTGCTAAATGTCAATAATATTAGAAGTATCAAAGCCTCCTCGCATGTGAAGATCAGCTAATACAACATGGATTCTGAGAATCACACATATATAGGAAAGTATTGTATTCCTAGTTCCTACCCTTTGCCAAAATGTTATACAAAGTACTTCTGTCATTCCATTACCCTGCTTTCACAATGACTTAAAATTTAAGCACATTTAATCAATTGCATTTTAGATTTATACATTCACCACCTCATATTAGACGATAAACAAGTCAATGACCAACATCAGTGAGTCCAAGCCATCATAAATATTGGGAAAGAGTTCAAGTTCAAATCAAATCACCATACATGAGTAGGCACTTTCAGCAAGATAAGTACAGTTTTGGCTCATTTAGACCTTTAACATTGCTTTAAGAAAAGCATGGCAGGCATCTCAGCATAGATGTCCTAAAGTAATTAATGATAAACAATAAAACAAGAAGCATAGCCATAGCACCGAAACCAGCTGCAAAAAGAAACTACAATCCAATAAAATTACAAAAATATTTATGCTATTAGAACAAAAGTTACTGCCTTTGAAAATTTTAAAAATTACATACTCGATTACATCACAATACCTGTTTCTTATTAGCAAACACAAGTAAATTTATAAGCCACAATTTCTCACATTTTCATAAATCACCAAATGAGCCGAAACATTCAAGAAAAAAGAAAGCACCAACCAAATATCAGTTAACAGCATCCATTGAGATAGGGCAAAGCAAAACTACTTTACAGCAATGGTTATAGAATATCCTGTAACTTTGTACACGATTAAACCAAAATCACTTATGAGACCCCAAACTAGTCAAGAAACGGAGCCACTGTGAGACCAAAACATGCAAATTACCCAAGCTTGTATGATTAATAAGAAATACAAGTCTAACGAATTCACGAGGCTAATTTCACTCTCGCACATAGACACAACCGCGATTGAGAACACAATTAGTAGCGAAGAACAGCGATAGTAAATAAACAGCAGCAACGCGGTTATTGAGGGAATCATAAACAGAAAAACAGAAAACGATAACTGTTATCGAAACGCGAAATCGGAAAGAAAATTGAAGAGCGGAGAAAGAAGAAGGAATAGGGAATCTAAGTACCTGAGAGAGAGCAAAAGCGATAGGGAAGTGAGTGGAGTGAGGGTAATTAGGGATTGAAGGGAGGGAGTGGGCGTTGCAGCCTTGGCGCTTTCACCGCTCAGTCTCGTCTCGCGCACGAGAACGGATTTTCACCTGAATCAAGGTAGAGCGCATGCGATTGTATCTTACACCCTGCACCACTGGATTATTCTAATCCTACATGTCCTATGGTGAATGACTCGTTCGCCGCTTTTTTTCCTTTTTTCTTTTTATTTAGTCCCACAGTTTTTAACTATTCCAACATTTTGAGTATTGCCACTTAAACCGTTCAACTCTTTCTGGATTACTAAATAAACGTTTAACGTTTTATGATTCTCTCTCAGTTTTTAACGCATTAGGCTCCCTGACTTTTTATCTTTCCTGTAGGATTTTTTTTATTTTTCCATTGTTCTCGTGTTAAATTCTTACGTAATGGTATTGTCATTAAAAAATTGTTTATTTTTTACACATGTTTTGAAAAAATTTATTGAAATGCGTTAAACGATTTTTAAAAAATCAAAATTTATAAAACAGTTATATTGATTTAGTTTTGATTTTTAACTTTTAAAAATTATATTTTAAAACAATTTTATAAAACAATTTTTAGAAAAATAAAATAAATTTTATTTGATAATTTAGTTTTTAAAACTGTTTTTAGTTAAACTTTTGTTAGTTTTAGAAAGAAAAACAGAAAAATAAAAAAAAAACACCTAAATAGCAATTCTGTTTTTCAGTTTTAAAAATTAAAAAAAAATTAAAATAGTTTTTAAAACTTACATTAACAAACAAGTTTTTCTATTTTTTAATTTTAAAAAATAAAAATTCTATTTAAAAAGAGAAAATAAACAAGTTCTAATTCTTAAATTTTTAAAAATAGACATATTTTTAAATATAAATCATTACACTGATAAAGAAAATAAGATTAAAAGTATTTATAAAAAATATTTATCATGTTATAGTTAAAAAAATCCCTTATTTAATTTTAAAAATACTGATACAGAAGATAAAATAAAAAGTAATTAATGAATTAAAAGGCATTAAATACATTGAAGTTTTAAATATTTTAAAGTTGTTAAATATTAAACATTTTATAATTAATACTAACGTGATGTTAAAATGTCTTTTAATAGGATTTTCTAAATGTCTTTTAAAACTAGATCTGTATTTCATAATCAAATTCAATAGATATAGACATGCTTTAATTATTAGCCTAACATATATGGCAGATTAAAATTAAACATGATTTTGATTTAAAACACGTACTTCAGTAGATATGATAAATGATTTAAAAAAATTTATTGCTAATTTTTGTATTTAAGTTTGAGATATGCTAATAAATTTTAGTATATTTTTAAAATTAAAAATAAATTACATTAGTTCAAATTTAATTTTTGAACAATAACTTTACAATACTAAAGTAAAATTTATGTTTGCGTAACAGAGAGGAGTTTCTGATGGTGATTTCTCACGCTCAGCCCTATGGCTAAACAGCAACGAGTTTAAGGCTTGCACGGCCCAGAGGTTATCATCATGGCCCGTACATCTGGTCCAAGCCTCCCCATAATTTGATATTTTATGTATTAGATAAATAAATACATTTATTTGTGTGGATAAATAATAAGTATTATCTCTAATTGATGATATTTAAAAATTACGTATAAGTTTTATCATTCTTTTACTAAAAATAATAGTATTAAATAAGACAAATAATTTGCACTTACTCTATACATATATTATTGTTTTTACTACAAGTTAATGAGTTGATAACAAGGAAATTACATATTTTGTTTATTATTTCAAAGATAAATTAACATTTTTATTTTAGATATTTTATGGATATGTAAAATTGTAAAGTTTTTATTAAATGAAAGGAAATAATATATAATTACATAAATTGGACATAGTGGTGAGTGGCGTTGCTGTTTTGAGAACTAAGTAGGGAATGATAATTATTTCGGAAACTTGAATAAAAAAAACACTAAATTGATATTTTTAAGTCCTTATATTAAATTATATTCTTTGTTTAAAAAGTTTTATTAATATATAGTTTTTAACATTTTTAAGATATATGAATTTAATTTTATCGTGCTTTATGACTTAATAACATTAGTCTAATTCATTACTACTACGTAATTATCATATTTAAATATCAATATTTAAAAAAAATCCTTAAATACTTTTTAAATATTTACTGAAAAATCTCTGGAATCGGATCTGCAATGATCCACACCCTTTGAGCTATACCCATGTCAAACCTCTCTTTGTCTTCTTCAAACCCTTCCCTAATGGCTCTCCTTTGTTGACCGCTTACCAGACCCTCTTCCGATGACTACCTAAGTGTTTACACCAACATCAACTTCTTGAAGGAAATTTGTCTCATGGCCACGCTCGTAGGAGAACACAACCAAGAGCTCTGGAGATAGAGAGTTCATAATAATTCAATTTCTAAATTGTCAAAGCAAAGAATGAACCTAAAGCAAAATTTATTTCTCATTTTCATCGCTCTTTAATTGGGTTGGTGAACACTAGGATTTCAGCTCCTTGCATGCGTTTCACGGGTGGGTTCAACCTTCCATCGTGTGATCCTTAACTTCATGTGCAGGGCGGCGACTTCACCACCGCCAAAAATGGCACCAGCGGCGAATCAATCTACGACACTAAGTTTGCTAACGAGAACTTTGTGAAGAAGCACACTGGCCTAAACATGAAATTGATGGTGATCAATACTGACCCTGGCATGAATGGATCTCAGTTCTTCATATACACGACAAAGACATAATGGCTCAAACAAATATCAGCTTTTCTTATAAGATTAATAGTTTCGCCTTGAATTTTGAAAAGCCCCAATGGGATGCGGGGTCTCGTTAGGTGCTTACGAGGTTGTTTTCATTGGTGGTGTAGTTGCTGTTTGAAATCATTGTTAAGTGAGATTTGGTTTCATATAATGCCATGATTGTTGGTGGGCCTGGAATGGTGGAAGCTACGATGAAGGTGCACGTATAGAAGAAGAATAGGTTGGAGAATGTTCATGTGTCTCAGGCTACATAGAGGATTGAGATTGTGATGAAGAATTTCTTCTACGCTTACAAGCAGGTTGGACAGTGGTGATGAGAAGCTCAAACGAGAATGAGAATGAGAATTTTTTGTGACAGTGGCAATGTTGGAAATGACCAAACAGTGACGGAGAAAATGAGGAAAGGGATCGAAGAAAGATTTTTTTTTTTTTAAATAATAATACTAAAATAACAATGATGTATTAGTGAGAATTGAATTTTTATATCTAACTTGTGCAGAGTACAGTTGAATACTACTTTTATATGGATAAAAAATATAATTAAGTTATTTTAATGTCTTTAAAAAATTATTAAACAAACTAAGTTTCACAAAACTTACCTTCGAGCAAATAAATTCACACTTTTTGTAACTTTTTTTAATAATCGAGAAAGGGATATAAAAAATGCATCTTACTCGATTGAAAGAACGATTCCAATGATCTCAACAGGCAACAGATACCATAGATGTTATTTAATTTTTTGGGTATAGAACAGTTACCGTCGACCTAAATGTATCTTATTTTTTTTGTGGTCCAGCGCAATCTACGAACCGAAATGGGCCACAAGTTACATGAATGATCCACCATCTAACATGTAAGTCCACATGTAAGATTGACTCTTCATACTATTGCAATCAATATGCGAAACATGCTGGGCCCAATTGGTTGCATGTGGCCAGACAATGGGGCCATGACTCAATTAATCCTCTGTACCTCCTCACTCCACTGTCTACAATGAACATAGCCCCTACAACCGAAATGGACCAAAGCCAAGGTAGCCTCTAGATTGCATCCCCTTAAATAAATAATAATAAAAATAAGATAAAATTTAAGTGTAGTATCTATGAGATTATAAATATTTTTAGGGTTATTTTTAATCAAAGTAAAAATTTTATTTCAATGGTTAGTATTGTTTTTTAATGTTGACTTTTATTATAATTTGTCAAAATGAAACTTTAAATTTGATTGAAGACTAGTGCAAAAAATGCTTAATATATTGCTCACAAAAGATGGTTATTTTAAGACGCGTTTCTTTTAAATTTTTCTCTTTTTGATTTAAAGGACTCGGCTTGCTTGCGTTGGTTAATTAAATGAATGAGTTTGATTATTCATTCCATATTCAACATGGGTCGTGTAGGTTGAACTTTATGGGAAGATTAAGTGAGCAACACATGAATATATTATGCCCTTTCAGCTACAAAATAGCTAAACAAATAAATGGTACGATTGCAATCATTGGTCCCGGATTTGTTTTCTCTCCCATTACTTGAAAAAAGACACACCTCGGTATATAAACAACACTGATGTCACTTTCCTTTAACTTCAATCTTTATATCATAAAAATTAAGCATACCTAATATATGTACTCATGACTTAATCATCAAATAAAAAAGATATGTCTTAAAATATATTATAACCAATAAAGGTGATAGAATAATATATAATGTACAAATCATTCCTAAGCCCAAAAAAACTGCAGCATTTCTGCAATGCTGTCCAACTTCTCTTTCTATATTTTATTTATCCTAATATGCGGAACTTTGTCAGTTTTTCTAGTTGATCATATTCTCAGTTGTGTATTGGAGGCTTTCTCCTTGCTGGAGAATAGTCCATCTCAGCTATGTCTACAAGGTCAGCATAGTGCTCCTGAGGGACATCTTTGTGCTTGGAAATAGTCAATGTATTAACTTTTACTTCCTTCACTTCTTCATTGGCATTCACATTTCTAGTATTGCCATTTACCAAGGGATGACCCTTGTGCTCTTCACTTTTCACATTCTGTCCATGGAGCATATATATAGTGTCATAAACAGAAAAAACAAAGAAGAAATTCCAAGGTTTACACTTGAGTTGAGACCTATGACAGAATATAATTTAATTAATTTATTCTATCTCTCAACCAACCTTTGACATGGATTGGGTTGTAGAAACTGAAGTGGTAACAAGTTTCCTATTCTTTATCTTTCCTGCAAGAACATAAGAACATTCAAGATGCTTAATACTAGGATTTTTTATTTGTAAAAGAGAGTTAGTACTGCTTAAATTTCTTTGATGATGCTTAGTAAATATATTTTGCCATGTTTGAGTCACACACACCAAGAGAAGGAGAATAAAGCCTTGAATTTTTGTGTATAACTGTAAAATTAGAAGCCATCAAGAGTTTATGGGACAAAACTCTCAGTAAGCATTAAGGAATACTGAATCTAGTTTTGAAGGTTCTGAATAATTCTTGTATTATAATTAGAAACAAGGAAAAAAAAAAGGAACTTTCTGGGCTTAAAAGCTAATGGTGTCTAGGTCTATGCAATCTAGGTCCATAGTAATCTTCATGAATGTGTGGTAACTGGTTGTATGTTTTTCTTGATTTTCTAGGGGCTCTTTTCTTCTGGCTACCTATGCATTGTTCATCTTTGCTGCAGAGAACAACTTCCTCAGCATCAGTATTACTTCTTTTCAACAAAGTATTTCCCTCATCCTGTAGTCAGAAGTGACTTTTACATTAACATCCAAAGAAATGTGAAAGCATAAATGAAGGCTGAACTTCATGAAGAAATGAATACATAAAACTACAAAGTAAGAATCACCGACATGTTGTTTCTGTTGCTCAACTGCTAAAGACACTTTCCCCAAACGAATCCCTGCATAGAAGAAGGAGATATAATTAGAAACCCAAAAAGAAGGCCTAATTGTGAAACTGAACTGCTTTTGAAAACATTGCTTTAGCTACCTTGAGCTTTTGCAAGGAGGAGTGACAAAATCAGAAGAGAGACTACAAAAGAAGGTCTCATTTTGAAGAAAAATTAGTATTGGGAAGAAGTGAGCGGTTAGAATCCTAGCTTAAACAAAGAGGGGAGTTAGAATTTTCTTCAGGTTTTTCTTCTTGTGAAGAAGTTCTTAATTGAGCAATGAATTGGAAATTGTGAGTGGTTGATGGGATGAAGGATAGATGAATGACATATTGTTATATATATAGTGGTGTATAGGGGTCCTCATCGAAGTTCAACTTAAAGTAGTAGTTTTTTTTCCCTTGCTTTTTTTTGGTTGTCTTGTGATACCCTCAAAATGCCACCTCATGTAATTAGGGAAGTTGCTAATCATTTGATCTGACAATCATTTAGGCCAAGGTTTAGGGGTTAAAAAGGTTTTGAAATTAAATGATAGAAAATATTAAGCAACAAAGGAGCTATTAAATGTCAGGCACTACAATATTCATTGCATTAAACAATAAAAAGTACGGACCTAATTAAGATGGAAAATGGATAGTCCAAAGAGAACAGGAAGATGGATTAAATGTGAAACATAAAAAGGCGCATTTACTTTGGGGAATGGTACAGTACTATAAGAATTGATGAACCATATAATAATGTGTGTGTATATATATATATTTAAGTTTGGCTGAATGTACTGTTGTTTTTCTCTTCTCTACGTTGATGTACGCTTCAGTGTTTGCAAATTTCCACGATGCCAGCCTTTTGTTCTGTCTCATTCACTTTATGCAACAAGAGTACAAGACCATGTTTTCCCTATGTTCATTTCGTTTAGAAAATCTCCCTTCTAGAAAACAACCCTATTGATTTGCTCATTTTCCAAGCTTCTTCATAGCATAGCCTCTCTCTCATCACCAAAAGTTTTTTACTTCCTCTAGCTAGCTAGGTCTAGGGAGTCCAATTTCACGTTAGAATATCTCATCCTGCTATCACCATAGTCATGAAATAATCTTATTTTCGTGATTACTAGTCTTCTGAGAGAAAAAACATATTGTTAGGTATCAATACCCATCACCACTAGAAGAAGAAATTAGTAACAACTTGATAAGTCTTTTATTTGTGTTGAATGAAAACTTACCACTAGCTAGACAGTACGTATTATTAGACCAAAACATATATAAATGTCAAGGTAGGATATATATTGGTTCACATGCATCCAGCAATTCCCTATCAATCAAAATTAAGATGTGCTTCGAATTGAATCAATTAGCTAATAAAAACTAGAAATGATGTCCAGTTTGATCCTACCATCTTAATGGAAACTTAAATATGATAGGAAGAGTTCTCTTAATTAACAGTCTAATTAAAATTGACACTGAGAGAGTGATGAAGGGTTAGTTTCCATCAACATAACTAACAATTATAGCAACTGGTGCAATGTGTTTCCGCAGTAGCAACCCACTAGGCCATGCAAGAGCATGGATTACGCAACTATAAACTGGAATTATTATGAGAGCAAGTGAAGGTGAAAGACAACGTTTGGAAGTCATGGTTTGTGGGGTGATAATATAATTGATACATCATGGTAATGCCTACGTAGGACTTTGTCGCTTAGTTGCCTTATATGAACGGAAAGAAAGGACCAATCCACGTGGAGGTCGACATCTCGGGGTGAAGTGGCAGGCCAATCACCACGTGGGCACCGCAACTTCACGCGTGTTGTTGCCACTCTGGGCTGCACACAAACACATCGGTGGCGACATTGTCAGAATTTGTCATGTGGGACTATCGGGAGTCACCTTCATTTTATTAAATTCCCTCTAATTCCTTATTCAAATTCAATGTTCCAGTAATCTTTTTTCTTTTCATTATAATTCTATTTACCACCACATTTTCATATAACTGTTCTTAATTTATATTCCCTTGGCATTTACTTTTCTACATTGAAAGAATGAACTTACCTATCAGTGTGAAGTGATGTGCGTTATGATCTCTTTTGAGTCCGTATTAATATGTTTAGTTTGTCATAGTTATAACAGTGTAAACCCTTCATTTGCCCCACATGTTTTTTATATGATTCATAATATTTTATACATAATAAGTATGCTTATTATTATAGGTGTAAGTGTTTAGTTTTTATTATTTGGAACCGTTTGATGTCAACTTAATAAAATATTCTTCAACACCTGTGCAGATAGATACACACACACACACACACACTTATTTAAAGATTAATACATAAATTCGAATATGGATTTTAAAAAACAACCATTTAAGATGTAATGCTTCGTAGATTTCATTTAAGAAATTTTTTTTATCATACATTTAGGGAGGGCATGATAAAAATTAAAACAATAAAACTTTTAATAAAATCTATTTTTTATAAACAATGTACAAATTATTTAATGTTTGTTTATATTAATAATATATCAAAATCAAGCTCGATCTCTTACTTATTAATTTCTTAATTAGCACTTTTAAGACACTTTTTTTTCGTTAAAATAATAGATTTACGAGAAACTGCAGGTTCATGCTTTAGTTATTGTGGAATTCCAGAATATATGTCGCCATGATCACGGAAACGTGCGTTTTGCCTCTGTACCGCACCAAAACGGACGTCATTCTAAATTGTGTATACTCATTCAGGGGCTGTTGTTTCTCTCTCAATATTTAGAATTGAAGATGGCAAAGAAGATACAATTGATTAGGGATTTTGTGGCACGCATAGCAAGATTACTACCCTAGCTATTTTTAGTGCATGTGGAAGGGACGTTGTGACTACTAATTAACCCTTTAATAGATAGATTTCTTCTTCCTTTTGTAACTTTTCGTGTAGTCCACTAGAGTATATTGAAATTAACACGAGGGAACAAGCTAGATTCAAATTAAATAAAGGGATTCAAAGCATATATTAATTTTCTTTTAGCAAGATATAATTGCTTTTGGAAAACAAAGTCCGACATAGGGACGTCATTTTTGAGACTAAGAAATTTGGACTGCCTAACAATTGAAAGGTGTACGCACCTTTCTTTGTCTTTCTTTCTTTTCTGTTTGATAAAGACCAAATCTTGATACGTGATTTCTGATTACGTGCCTGTTCATAACCAAACAATCCAGCTTCAGTGATGTTATCCTTTGTTTATACTCGGTTTTCCAACGACAAAACCAAATAAATCTTATAACATTTTTCTTCATTAATTTAGTATAGGATTTCCATTTTGTATATTATATAAGTATTATACATTTGGTGTTTATGTTATTTAAGGGGGGTAATGCTAGTTCAGTTTTTGATTGAGTATATAAGAGTTACAGCTCGATATTTATATTATAATTTTCCAGATTTTGTGGACGTTGATTAAGTTTTTCCTTCTACGTCGCTTGGATAAAGCAGAAGAGTAGTTTGTCTTTGAAGTTTGAACTGTGTTTCTTTTCTCTTGGACATATACATCAACTGATGGCCCTTGATTAAATAAATATATAAATTAAAATTATCAATTTAAAGTTCAAAAAAGCACCAAATTACTTTCATAATTTCTCTGAATGCTTTAAATCAAAAGTTTATGCCTTTTGTTTCTATAAAGTTAATTAAATTCCGTGAATATTAAAGGTGTATAATGAAAATTTGTAGTAAAAAATCATTAGAGGAAAAACAAAAGAATTCTAATGAACACTAACACAAGAATTAATTGCATGCAATACAGTATACTGTACTGAATGAAAGGCACATTCACTCGCTAGCTAGTCGCTAGAGCCTAGAATGGCAAGGACCTGGCTTGGTTGGTAATATTTTAGTTGAGATATAAATGCAGTTGATGAATGCAAGAGATGTGTTATTTTCACTCCTAGAAGTGTATATATCTCTAACATCTAGCAACTTCATGATGTATTTAAATTTAATAAGCTTATATCCAACTAGTTAAGCCTACTCTACTTTTTAATACGATTGTAATATTTTAATTACATCTACAAAGTAAGCGAGGAAAAATAATTTGAGATCAGCAAATTCGTGCAACTGCTTCTTCGATCAAGAGAGACATCATTTTTTATGTCTTAATTAATTTCTTCATCTGGGGGCAGAGATAGTCATCATTTTTTCACATACACATGAAAAATTCATTCCACATTACCGCTTCATCTACGTAGTAATCACAAATGGTGGGGTAAAGTCCCGCATATTGTTTGAAACTTGAACAAACAAGGAAGCTATAATTAAGGCTAAAATGTTACTCAATATGAATAATAATAAGATAAGGAAAGAGGAGATCAAAGAGAGGGAGCTAGATAGGTCCTATATACATCATAAAGTTGCAATGCTGGTCAACTAACATGACAAGTACACAGGAACACAAAAATAGCATCTTCATAGAAAGTAATGCAAAGGGAGAGGGGGTTATTGAACTTTTTGTGAGCTTGTCCCTTCATGGTTGTTTCAATTGTAGCAGAAGCCAAAAGGTGCTATGTTTCTCTTACACACGTCAATAGAAGTGAGATACATAAACTATATGTTGGCCTCCATATCCTTATAGATCTATTATTGTCATATTTCAGCCTCCCTCAGTCCCATACCTATATGTTGTGACCCCTCATATAGAGAGTCACATGACTTGTTCACATCGCATTAGCACATGGGCGTGAACACTGTCTCAACCCCCCATCTGCCACCAGACCCACTCTCCCAAGATATTGGTACGTGGCAGAAACAAAACACTATATATATGAGCCAATGTTTGTGCTTAAAATTAAACATGAGCCAAACATTGCTTTTAAGACACATTTTGTACCACCCTACTTTAAAAAATGTTATCATTATTTTTTCAAAAGACAACTTTAAGCGCTAGGAATGTCTTGTACGTATGTTGATATAATATTTTTTGAAAAAAAAAAACAGAAACTATATTGTTATTATCAATGTATGTTTATACTACTAGAATGATACTGACATTTAGTGTTATTATGAAAGAATTATCATTTACTAATTATTCAACAATAATCAGTTTCCGTTTATAAATTTTTTTCTAACAAAAATAAAATTAATAGCATAAATATTATAATTTTATACTATATATAATTCTATTTATATAAATATGAAACATATTACCGATATATCAGATGTTAATATAATCCATTATTCATTAGTATAGACGTTCAAAATCGATATTAATAGTTTAATTTTTGTATAACAAAAACTATATTAACAAGTTTATTTTAACACTTAAACAATTTTTTTTTGGTTATATAGTAAATATAATATTTATATTATGTGAGTGTATATATATTAATTATAAAATTAAATATGCAAAGAGAATTATATGGTAGTGTAACGTATTACATCATTATTATAGATCTGCAATATTTATACTGGCAATTTAATTTTTTTAGCTGTTATTTTAATAGAAATTAATCAATAAACTGTTAGTACACGACTTAACTTAAGGAATCACTTAAGCTCTTCAACATTTTTTTTATCAATTTAATAAAAAATTAAAATAGATTATTACATTCTATCTGATATGTAATTTTATCAGAACTTCTGCATAAAAAAAATAGTTACTAATGCTAAATCAAATACCAGACTTTTTTTGTATAACTAGTGCATGTAAATACTTTTAAGAAAAAGAAAAAGCAAAAAAGTGCATCGCCATGGCATAATTGGTGATTCTCAGGGCTTAGACGGTGACACGACAAAAAAGATCTCAATTACCCAACAAATACAAAAGACAATAAGATCTCACACGGCAATATACTATGTGTTAGGATTTGATTTGTATTTGTTTACTTTAGAAATTCATGAACTATTCCAAGAGATACAAATTTATACGTGCAGCCAACAAGTTGACATGTAGTGGGATCACCGACGAGTATGAATGCGATTTCTGTGATTAGACTAAATTCTAACACTTCAAAAAGCCTATTGCTCATGTGAATGACAAGACTTTGCTTTAGGTTTAGTTCTTTTCGCAAGTCTTCGCTTTCTACACATAGCACGAGTTATATATGACAATTGCATGGCATGAGGAGGTGGGACAAAATCCCTTTTTTAATGATTTTTCCTGTCGTCAAAAGGCTAAAAATACTGTGATTTGAATTTCATTATTTTGCTGAAAGTTCGTCACAAAAATTGAGATTTGAAGAGGAAGACAAAGCAAAAGAGAATTGGGTTTTCAAAGAGAGAGAAAAGCGATTGTCATAATTGAAGTTTGAAAATAATAAAGTTATTTATCCACCAATTTTTTATTTTATTTTTTTACACAGTAAAACAATAAAAATATACATTTTAATTAACCTATTTTCTGGTTTATCTTTATTTTTAAATAAGAAAATGTGAAAAATGTTTTGAAATAATAAAAAGCGATCCAATGCAAAACAATGGAGGGCATAATAGACAATTTAGTTTAAAAAGTTTTTAATTGTAAGATCTTTCTAGTAAAAGGAAATCAATTACTAGGCGAGTATATTTTTGGATTTCCTTTGGAGGGTGAAAGGAGAACAAAGCATATGATTCAGATGTGAAATGTCACTCTTGATTTTTGTATGTCACCATGATTGATTAAGTATTCCTCCTTTAACAGAGGTGTTTAAATCTTCACACACATAGCTATACAGGATAGGAAATTTTGATGTTAAATATAATAATGAAAAACATTTGTGTGAATATAAAAAAATTCAAATTTGTAAGAAAGATGGTATAAAATTTATTTCAAATGAATGACTAATCATAAAAAATAAAATAAATTCCCACTTATAATTAACAATTACAAATAAAATAAAAAATATAGATAATTATTATTTTTTTTAAAATAATCATTTGTTATTATTGTTATGATTTAACAATTACTATTTTATTATTATTATTATTATTATTATTATTATAACAATAATAATAATATACTAAATTAGAGACTTATGTTTTAATTTATGCATATATATATATATATTCAATATACAATAATTAAAGTATGATAAAAGAAAAAAATAATAATTCACCTTTAAAATTTTGAAAACTCTTAAAAATTTAAGTGTAGAGGCTAAGAGCATGTTTATTTTCTGTTTTTAAAAATTAATTTTAATATAAATTTATGTTAAAATTATTTTTTAAAAATAAAAAACTATTTTAAAAACAGAAATTAAACATACTTTAACTTCTTCCACACTAAATTCAAGTTTTTAGACAAACTTTAGATGAATATTTTATTATGACGTATCGGTAAAAAAAAATAAAGAAAATTACTTTAAACTTGTCTCTATTGGAATACAAAATCCAAATATATTAACAACAATTTAACATAAAAATATCACTCAGCGATAATGTAATTTAACAATTTTAAAAAAAATACTGAAGAAATACATTTATGAAAATAAAATGAAAAAAAAAATCATGTCATTGATACTTAATAGAATGTAATAATTTTAATTATTAAGGACCTATTTAAAAAAAACTATAAAAATTTGATTAAAAAATTAAATTATTAGGACCTACTTAAAAAAATATAACAAATAATAAATTAATTGACCTTGTTCTTATTATTAGTAATAGTAGTGTTGCCAAATAAATTCAAATGAGTAAGTGCCGAGTGATTTGTTCAGTACCGATTAAAATGTGATATTTGATAGAATATGGAGATTAAAAACATAAAAACGTAATAATATAAATGGTTCTAAATTTCAAAATTAATATTATTATTTAAAAATTTTAAAACTTAAAATCAACAATTACCTCATTATTCCAAGCCGGGTTTAATTAAATTGAAAATAAATTTTAAATGGAATTAATAGGCTCTAATTAACTTTTTTTATAAGATTATAAACCAATCCGCTCAGATGTAGTCCAAATTTATACACATATACATCTTTTTTTATTATTAAATTAGAATATAACCCATACTAATTATATATTTATAAAATTATTATCTCAATTTATTTTCTTCACAGTTTCACTATCGAAATTGTACTTACTTTTCTAATTTTTTTTTTGTAAATTTATCAATCATAAATTAGTTTAAATTTATTTTATTTCTCTTGTTATTTTTTATTATATAACTTTTCCAATTTACATTGAAGAATCAATTCTAATGAAAAATGGGTAAAAGGAAAAATACAAAATAAGATTTTTTTAATGTCACAATATGATTTTTAAATTTTTAACTTCAATTTTAAAATGTCTATTGTGATTAATAAATTTATATTGACGCAGACTTGATGCAGTTCTTGGTTCACTTTCTCATTGTTTTGGTCAAACGAACTTTTTGGAAGATGAATGTTGGTGCAGAAAGCAAGTAAACTAAGGGGAGCAATTTCAATTAACTATGGATTTTTTGGTACATGGAATGGACTTATCTCTAATCATATTCCCGGAAACTTGGACACATGTCTGGGCCCTCATTTCTCATTTGTTACTACATTTTCCTATTTAGCTATACGTTAATTAAAGTTATTTTGGATACCCATTTACTCAATTAACAGAGTTAACCTTTCCATCTATCAAGTTTCATATTTGTTGACCTCCAATTTGTGTGACCTTTGTAACAAGCGTAATAGCCATTTTCCTCGTTGATTTCCATTGCAAAAAATTTGCACTGTTTTTCTAGGAAAATGTCTGTAAAATCTATTTCATTTCACTTAAAAATAAGCTTATTAATCAGGGTTTTGTCGGAGAAATTTAAAGTAGGAAAATTCGTTGGTCTCTGCACCAAAGGCTCCATAATATTAGAATCATTTCAATTCATTGCATGTGTGGAAATGTGTACACATACATGATCAAATATTTGCAAATTTCCTTCTCTTTATTTCCACTCACAAATTTATATTCATACGTGAATTGAGTAAATAGAATTGTAGTGTAGAAACATTCGACTACCCAAAAAAATACATCGCGCAGAGTACTCTAAATTTGCACTAACAGGTAGTTGTTCTGTGAATTCCAATTATGAAACTCTTGGAAAGCATTAGCATTAGACAAACCCTTAATCTGATGTTGCTTAAATTTTCAAAAACTAGATCATTAGCACCATTTTTTTTTAATCTTGATGTCTCTCTCATGCTATACAAATTTCACTGCTCCTATGCAAGTCTAGTTACTCTTAAAATGGTGATACACTTCACCAGATATTGGATCAACAGAACAACATAAATATTCTTATGCTTAGGGTACTAATTCTCAAATTGATAGATCAAGGGGATGGTTCTCAACTAAGTCATATAGGTCATCACCAATTCCAAATCCAAGCATTCTAGCCATATCACTGGCCTTTAATTTAGGCTTGGGAATGTTGTGATGCTTCAACCAGGAATACACTATAAAAACTTTCTTCACAACAAACAGTTCCAATGCCTCAGGATTGAAAACAACTCCCATTTTCATATTCATCTGCAACATAACATAAAAATATTTACCGAGTTAGCATCAAACTTGTTCTCCTCCTTTTTCATACACATGAACATATTGAACTCACACACAAGCATGCACTTTTTAACATCACCTGATGTGGAACCAACATTGCAGCATACCTAGCCAGCTCACCTGCTCTCCAGTCCAACAAAACTGGCAACCATGGATAAGTAGCATCAAGTCTCACAAACCATAGCCTAATATCAGGATACTCTGAAAATTCTCGAGGATCATGAGGATCTTCTTTGGTATAGTTGATGGTAAAGCCAATTGTACGCTCAAGATACTCCCTTGGTTTAACTGTAGCATTAATTTCACCATGCAACACCCAAGATATAACTATGAAAGTTAATTATATCCCACAAGTGGTTAAACAAAATTTCAATGTTCATATTAGCTTGCCTACCAGATAAAGGGGATTTCATGCCTGTTGCAGCTTGAAAAGGTGACAAGTCAAGACGACTAATGACATCATTGTCAATGACAACCTCAAATCGGCCTTCTGTTGGAGGCTTAGGAGGTGCAACTTTAGGAGCATCTGTGAACCAAAGTCTGTTCAAGTATAGTATAATAGATTCCATTAAATGCATGGAGCACTACAATATATTAGTTGCATAATTTCTGCTAGCTAGTTACAAGGACATACTAGTAAGATTCACGTATTTGGTTCCTCTTAAGTGAGTGAGGAATTAGGTAGAGTGAAAAAGTAAAGTGTAGTATCGACCCTTAATTTGAAATGGACTTGCAAAGTACGGTACATTTTTACTCTCTCATTTTGCTTACTTTTTTTCGCTTTAGATGAGAAATCCAAGACTCAGAACACATTTAGAGCAGGACATTTAACACTACATATTCTTAATTCATCCTAAGATAGTTTTTACATATGCATATAAAATAATAAAATTTATTATCTTAATATTATGACACAATTAAATACAAAAATTATATTTACTTAAACCATTTGTTCTTTTTTTTAATGCTTGATGTCATCAACAATTATATTAGAATCAACATTTTCAAATATTTTTTAATATAAACAACTATTTGTCTAAAAAAATTATCTATTTGATTTTTTTTACAATTTTAGTTTTTGCTGTTGATGTTTCAATTTTAACTACTTGAGTTTAAACCAATAAACTATAAGAAAAGAAACTATTTAGACTAAAAAGTTTAATAATTTAATTTATTTTAAGAGCATGATACCATAAAATGTATATATATTTAACGAAATCTTTACTTATGATGGAGGAGGCATAGCTCCATCCTACTTCTAAGATGCCCTGCCCCTGTTATTGTTTATGCATTTTATTTATTTAAATTAATGATAAAGGTATAACAAAATGGAAAAGAAAACAAAAGATTAATGATACTGTAGGTGTTACCATCATCATCAAATAAAGAGAGATCGAAGTTGCCTTGGGGGTTGAAGGATACTGAGACTGCAACATGTCCTCGCTGATACACAGTTGGAGAAATTGGAAAGGAAGGGAAAGGGTGAAAAATGGGTTTGCAGGAAAACCATGAAGTGGTTTGTTTAGGCAAAGGAGAAAGTGGAAACAACGGTTTGCATTTGATGATGGTAGTAGCCATTAGTTTGCACTTTAGTTTCAGTTGCAAGAAGAGCAGAAGCAGTTAATACAGTTTCTATCCACAGAATCCTCAGGCCTTACGTTTTCCCAGTAATTCTATCCGCTTCCTTAAAGTGGTTTTTGGGCCTTTAAGGTTGTTACAATACCAAATCTCATAAGCATAACCCAACTGCCATCTTTATACTTATGTAGCCCATGTACGACATCAAGTTTTATTCTTTTACTCTCCCTTTTTTTCTTCAATTAAAGTTAAAATACAAGAACAATAAAAAGAGAAAAATTGATTATTAAAATAATATAATTATGTAATATTGAAATTTTAAAAAGATATACTTTTATTTCAATAAATTTTTAATTTCAAATAAAAAATATGATAAAAGATGGTTTTTTTTAACATCATTTGATTTAAAGGAGCAAAGCTGAGGAGAAGGGAAAAAAATAAATTATCTATTATATATTTAAGATGATCAGATGAAATTAAAATTAAGAAATATTTTGTTTAATTAATCCAAAAGCTTATCTTCCCTTCAAATCCTCCTAATTTTAGAGGGGAATTAAAATTGTGTGAGGAAGAATGTTAACTCTCTTCTTTTCCCTCTGAAATATTAAACTAAATAAGAAAAATAATATAAAAATTCTTCTCTTCTATTTCACTCAAACTAAACACTATATGTTAATGGCATGCTAAGTACATGTTTAATAAAGATGAATTATTCATGGGCGAGGTGTGCACACATTTGGTCTTAGGTAGTGCAGAACCATTCCATTTACATCATTAAAAAATTCAACTTTATTTATCTATTATTGTAGAGATATATTATATGCAAATTAGACGTTTGGACAGCGTGGACCATGTTCAGAACTCCGTGGAAATAAAAGGATCACTTATTATGAGCCTTTAGTAGCTTCGTGAATCAGAAAGGTGATCGTGCAACTCAACCAACTTATAATTTTAACCTTGTTTCTTTTCTTGGTGCTGTCCCACATGATATGGTTTGATCAAGTAATTAACCAACCTCATGTCATTAAAATATGTTCTTTTTTATGTTTTAACTTTTTGGTAAGCGAAGTAGTAGTGCTAATGATGACAATATAAAATGACACTATTCCTTTACAAATAACTTACCTGTATGATTTTTGGTCACAATCATTTAACTCTAGAGGGGAGGGTTTGTGTTGATTTCACTAATAATCAAGAGCTGTTAAGGGGTGAGCTTTGTATGAGACTAAGCTCATTATGATACATGGTTTGGTCTTTGAAAACGGCTCTGCACGTGAGATAGGCCTAAAAAATAAAGAGAAAGAAATAAAATAGGACATGTGGAAGTGGCAATGGGATTAAAATAGAAGGGCAAAGTGAGGCTGAGGTAGAATTGCACTGCCCTCTGCGGATAGATCCCCTCGTGCGGCTCACACGCTGACTCACTTTTTCATTCTAATCTAACCTCATCATCTTTATATTTTGTTATTTCAACATTTAAAATTTGACACTCAATGTAATATTGTATATAATTATTTTCATATTTTTCTTACTTTTTATTATATTTATAGTATATATACATCTCAAAAATACTCACCACAGTTAAAGGAGACATCAAAAGATGTCTCTCTTTAGTGGTACAAAAATCTTTTTTCATCATCTCTGGTCACTTCTGGATCTTTTGATCTTTGACTGCCACACCAAATACACAAACTTTAGAACTTGTACTGTATTATGAGGAAAAGGGTGTTGTGCACCGTTAAATTTGTAGGTTAGGTCCTTGGATCCCTTGCACGTGAGGTCCTTTACTGATATGATACCATCCTGCTTTTCATGGCACGTGGGGGTGACAATTCTTTTCTTAATTCCATCAATTTTTATTTTGGTAGCTTCTCTCTTCTTCTGCTAACGTATTTGTCTATATTTTGCTTTGTAATTTGATATCATATTAAGCACGTACAGGTGCAGTTTCATCCTTCTGTTGGTCGGTGCTGATTTCTTGAAGCTATTATGGAAGGATTTGTAGTTACGAGGGTTATGTTCATTGTGATGTTTTTTGTGCACTAATATGTAATATTTAATAAACTTTTAAGTTTTCTATACTTTATTTTCGGAGCCATTATGAAGAAAAATACCACATTGTGCAGATCCAGTGGTAAGGAATCGGAGTTGGAAATATGTTAATTAAAGGGCATTTTGGCTACTCTCATTACTGTAAAACAGACACTCCTATTTGTGATTCTAAATTTGGTTGAGTAATATCGTAAATGCACATAATTTTTCTCATATATGTTATCATCACACTTTAACACTATATATGTCTCTTTGTCACAAGAATAATCTCATAGCACAACAATATAACTCTGATAGTCCAGATTTTTAATCATGACTTTTGTTGCTACACCATGATGGGGGTTTAGATTTCTCTTTTGGGGTGGGTGATAACTTTGAAACCTTTAGATCCGTGTGCTAAAAGAAATGTTAGTAATTTGTAAATGTTAATTAGTATATATGATTGAAAAAGTTTACAGTTTAAGAATATAAATTTTAGTAACTTCAAATTCAGAAGGCAAATTGCACTTATTCTTGACGAAGAGAATTCTGTTTTTCTTATTCCAAAAAAAAATCTGTTGGTTTTATGTTCTCACAAATTTCAAAATCACAAAGAGCAAATAGTAACCTGCTACGAAAGTTTTATTCTCTTTATTATTAGATAAAATTTATATCTGCTTATTAATATGGAACTAAAATTTATATTAATTAAAAAATCAACATAAATTTTATTTAATAATAAAAATGCATTAAAATAATGTATTGTTATAACATTCTTTCTCAATATATGCTGGTCATTATGAGTCTTATTATACATTGCTATGCGGTGCCAAATTGGCTTAGAATAATCGCTAAAAGCTACCTTAGGACCTATATCGAGCTAAACTTTCAAGATAAGTTAAATCAAGAATCAACTTCTTTTACTCATCTTCTTGGTGAAATTGTTTTTCCAAAAGTGACACCCCGCACTGTCAGATATCATGCCAAGGCTAAGGATCACGTAAACAGGGTTTAGGAAAACATATAGCAAAGGTAAAGGGTAAAAGGGGAAAGAAAGCAAGATTTATTTCCTATTCGTTCAAACCCCAAGAATAACACTTGGTTAGAGCCTAAAGGCACAATAAGCAAGGTCCTAAAAATTAGCACTAAATTAAGCCCTTAAATAATTTGTCATTAATTTTACTGGTTAGTGCTTAATGAGTTGTGCCTGTCTGTCAAACGTTGGTTAGAAATACCCATAATTATTAAAGTACACAGTGATTGGTTTAGTGGAGTGGTTGATTGGTTAATGTTACCCATGTTTGATTCCCCAAAAAACATGGGATTTCATCGTACATGTCTTGTTTCAGATTTTAGCTGGCTCTGTTTATGCGATGCTTCCATCCCTTTAGTGCCATATGCACAGCATAAATAGCACTAAGAACATGTTTTTTTTTTTGCTGTGAGTGGCTGAATAATTTGGTTTGGAAAGTATATTTCTTCAGTTGTCATTGTTTTAGTTAGTCAGAAAATGAAGGATGAGAAAGTTTGGACAAAGACTATATTCATATTCTTTAGGATTTGGTTTTGTCTTATTTAAACAGAGAAAACTAGCCACGATTTATGTAGTTACCACACTTTCTAAGTTATTATCTAAAATTAATTTTATACAGTGTAATATATGTTTTAATGTAAAATTATTATTTAAATTAATTTAAACATGTATTTTAATGATTTAAAATCGAAATTAATTATATTAGACTTTAAAACAAATGAACACTAATTCCTACTATCCACTTGCCACGATTCCATGGTGTCAAAAAATGAAACAATCAAATTAGTCTCATAGATTTGTTGCAAGAACAAAACCTTTCAATTGTTGTTACTAGCAGTAAATTCCTAGCTGCGATCGTATCTTCATAAAACATGCCTTTTCAAGTACATGTCATAATCATGACTAGTTACCTAGCTAGAATCTTACTCAGAATTATGGCCAAATGAACTAATTTTTCTTCAATTTAAAAGTTAGAATTGAACCTAAGTGCCCAGTATTCTATAGTCTCTTTGAAATGCCGCACTATTTGTGCATGTGTTTCTACATTCCTCTACGAAGAAATTTAAGCATTTGATAGGGTGCGCTAATTGTTTCTAGAATTTTGGAATAAAACAAAATCAAATGAGACAGAAATATTCTACTAATTCTTATTCATTGTTGTTTAGTAAAGTCTGAAACGACTTTGAATTCACCTTTATGTCACACAATATTGACCATAATTTATAAAATACAATTTATTTAACGCTCATCCAATGTTATAAAACTTTTTTCCAGTTAAGACTGTATAAATGTCCATCAATATGAATTAAAAAGTTTTATTTAAAATCTAAAAGTTTGTATCCTTATAAAACTTTAAATGTGAAAGTAGTTAATTTATAATTATTCGAAAAGATGAAACTTATTTTATTACTTAAATAACTTCAAATTATTTATAATTAGAATTGAATCAAATTTGAAATTTATAATTAAAAATGAAAAATAAAATTGACAATACAATTGTATTAACATATATGAATCTAATGGGAAAAAAGTGTATAAATAAAATGTCACATTAAACATATTTGCATAAACTTTATTTTATACAGTATGCATAGACAATATAAATGGGCCAGAGTTTTTTTATGCTCCAGATAAATGTGAGGTTAATCTTTATTCTATACCTCCACCTCTCAAGCAAGTATGCTCTTAATTTCTGGTGCTATGTTTCATGCTATGTCTTGCTAAGTAGGGAGTTGATTGGTGCCTCTATGCTCTCATTGCTTAACTTTGAAGTCATACAGTAATAGGCATATATTAATTATGCAAACTGAGATGAACAGAGATGTGCAGAAGTCCAACATAGCACAAAGGAAATTAAAGAAAACATAAAAATAGTGTTTGGAGAAAAGGTGACTCCAAGTTCTGTTGTGCTTTCTCAACTAAACTGTCTGAACTTTTTCTTTCCCTTTTCATTCTATTTTAATGTTCTGCTGGGCAACTGGCCGACTTCTTAAAAATAATAAAAATAAGGCAGAACCGATTCCATTTACATTATTAATAAAATTAATTTTATTTATTTTTGTAGAGATATATTATGTGAATCAAACTTACCCCTATCTTAATCAAAGATTTGATGGGCATTCACTTTTTCAAACATTTGAAAACGTACTTGTAACTTAATTTCAGCATACATAGACATATGCATATAAAACTCGCATATTTAAGAAATTAAAATGTCCCTTTAACAAACGGTTGCACGAAAGTAGCCAAAACTCTTATAAAATTAAATTAGACCGTAGGAGTTGAACTAGCAATGACAGCACTCTAAGACCATACATAAGTTGCACAAAAAAAATGAAATTTTACACTGGATTTCAAAGTCCAAAATCAAGTTGCCACTAGCAACTGGTTGTTTCCAAGATAAATTGAATCAGCGAAGAGGTGAAGATTTATATAATATGAAAAAATAATTAGAATTGCAGCTGGTTCAAGGAGAGAGTAGTTTAGTTTAGCAATAGAGCTCTTAAGCCAAGAAGATGAGCAGAGAATAGTTTAGAGGGGCCAAAGAGAATGGGAGACACGGAAACAGCGCCCACGTTCCCCTCACATCTTAACTTGTTTCTTTATGGCTTTCGGTTTCTCTCTCTCTTTTATTTCTCTGTCTCTCTCATAATCTCATATGATATAAGCCTTCCCCTATAGACAAAATGTTGTCTACCTATTCAAGGAATAAATAAATATATACCCTCACTCCTCTTGTGAACCTCCATAAGTACTCTTATCTCCCTCCTCTTCTCTCTCTCTCTCTCTCTCTCTCTTTCTATCTCTCTTGTTAATTATATACACCATACCTTGATCATAGCTCAAGGAGATTGTGTAGAGCCTCTATTGCAAGTGTTTCCATGATCATGGTTAATTTGAATTACCCTTCTTTTCTTCTTCTCTTTTTATTCAAATTCTTATGACCCTTTCGGTTGATATGATTTATAAGGTTTGTTTTGGTAATTGTTAATATATAGGGATACCAAAAGCCTGCATGGTTGGAAGCTCTTTACACACAAAAGTTCTTTGTGGGGTGCTCTTACCATGAGAATGCAAAAAAGAATGAGAAGAATGTGTGCTGCTTAGATTGTTGCATCAGTATTTGTCCTCACTGCTTGCCATCTCATCGCTTCCACAGGCTTCTTCAGGTTCGCCGTTACGTTTATCATGATGTTGTTAGGTTGGAAGATCTTCAGAAACTCATAGACTGCTCCAATGTTCAGGTATCAATATATACTAAATAAAGTAATAGTAATATGCCCTTAGTGTGATGGAGTTCTGATTAATAATTACCTAAATGAAAAATTGGATTGCAATTCAACTTTTCTGATTCCTAAAGGTTTGAATTCTTTATTAGGCCTATACCATCAATAGTGCCAAAGTGGTGTTCATCAAGAAAAGACCTCAAAACCGGCAATTCAAAGGGTCAGGAAACTACTGTACTTCATGTGATAGAAGTCTCCAAGAGCCTTTTATCCATTGCTCTCTAGGATGCAAGGTACATACATATCACACTAAACAAACAAAATTCACTCCTGTGTGCTGGGATAGGTTGTTACAAGTGAACTGAAATTGAACTTCATCAAAATAAATTTGAGTACATAATACTTGAATTATATAGCAAAAAAGGGGTAGCTATAATATACAAGCCCAATAAAAGATTGATTATTTTTGTATTAGATTAATATGGATGCCTGATGATTAAGTAGTAGATAATTTGAATTTCAATGGTTCATGTGTGTAGTATATATGCATATGTAGGTGGATTTTGTGCTGAAACACTACAAGGACCTCTCTCCCTATTTGAGGACATGCAAGTCCCTACAGCTAAGTCCTGATTTTATGATCCCACAAGACATGGTGGATGAGGAGATGACTCGTTCAACTGTTGTGGACAGTGATGAGCCAATGAGTTCATCTTCAGGGTCAGAGAATAACATGAGCATGGCTTGCACAGAGGTTGTTAGGAAGAGAAGGAGTGGATGGACTAGTGTGTGTGCAAAATTCATGGCCAATAGCAATAAGGTTTCGGACGAAGACATGGCCACAAGCATGAGTAGAAGAAAAGGCATTCCTCATAGATCTCCTCTGTGTTAGATACACTAATGAATAAGCACTCCAACAAAGGCAAAAAGGAAAACAATGGATTACCACTTACCAGTTTAGTACTTCAATTTTTAATTTTTTTTTAAATTACTATGATATGATATTTTGACTGAACTGAATTGTTCAAAGCTCCCTCTCTCTCTCTCTCTCGAAATTGAAGTTTATGTTTAATTAATCACTTGGTCGGGGCTTTTTTCTTAATGGCATCACGTGATTCCCAATTCCAAGTTATGGTCTGTACATTTTTATATGATATTATGATGATAATAATTGTGGTTAAATCCTAGTCAAGAATCATGCTTTTGACTAGCCGAAAAAATCTAGAAAGTTATATGTAACAAATTTTGCAAAGATATTCATTTGGGTACATAGTAGATTTATTTTTAAACCAACGGTCGCCTTACAGTTAAATATCATCAAATAACTGGGGATTGAGAAATTCTAAATAATTTCAAAAGTGAATATATTTTTTTTTCATTGAAAAACTATTAATACAATTTAAACTTAATTTTAAACACGCTGACAAAAAAATTATATTGATGTAGTAAAACGAACTTAAGAAGTAACTTAGGCAACTATACCAAAATATAATACTTGATTGCATTTAGAGAGAGAAAAAAAAAAAAGCAGCCTCACTTACTATTTATAGGCAAGAAACAAGTCAATATTGATTCTTTAAAGATATTTTTAACTAATAATTATGTTCATACTCTAATTTTCTCAAGTTTGTGAATCAAGCAACCTATGGATTCTCCCTTTACTTTTAGGCAGAATAAACAATTTCCATTCCTAAAAAGAAGCACATAAATTCTGCCGAATGCTGCAAGTCAGTGGCACTGTGACCGTATTGAATGTGCCACAGGCAATACGGCCTTTGATTCAAATGGTAAATACAATAATACATATAGGATGTGTTTATGTATCTTAAGGTCTAATATTTTCACAGTTCAAATGCCAAAATAATGAAAATTTTCACTCTCAAGATCACTCTTTATTCTAAAACTGTGAGTGAAGTGATAAGTTAAAAGCTGCGTGCTTCATTTGCAATTATCATATACGGAGGTGCGTATGTGTTAAGTGAGGAAGGTAATATCACTTTCTTCCATGTTAATTTTTTATATGGCATTATGATGTAAAAGAATAACATTTATTTCATTTTTTATAAAAACATAAATTTATATAAAATTTACTATTGTAAGTTTTGTAAATAAATTGAAATGTTAATATAATAACAAAAATTGTGTGAAATTTTAACATTAAAAATATTTTATTTAATTTCTCACGTCATAATTTCATACCAATTGCGAGGGAAAACCAAGTTAAAACAGCATTATCATGAGGTTGACTAAGTCTTTTTGTTGAATTTAGTTAATTAATAAATTATTAACTAAATTTAAAAAATATATATGAAAAAATAATAATAATGAATATCAATCATGTAAAATTAACACGTCTTGCATCGCAGTTCAATCTTGGTTACCAAAATTATACCCTAGTTCTGTTTTTTTTTAAATAAATAAATAATTTTTAATTAATGTTTCATAATTTTATATTGTATTTAAGAAATATTTAAATATTCATAATATTATATATTAAATTAGTCACTTTTATATTAAATAAGGTTATTAGTTATCCCCGATAGTTATTAGTTCGATCGAACTAAAAACCAAAGTAATGTGTGTGATGTACAATAGTGGCTGTGTTTTGGACTTCTTCCCAGGAGGCCCAACTTTTCTTTTTTACAAAAAAAAATGTACGTTTTTAATCCTTTAATTAAAATTGTGAACAGTTTTGTTTCTCAATTTGTTAAATTCAATTAAGTCTTTATATGTTTCAAATTAAGTAACTTAATCCTGTCATAAATGTGTTTTTACTTAAAACTTTTATTCTTTTATTCTTTGACTTAATTTTTTTACAAATTGAATCAATTAAATTGTTTTAAACCTTCTTCTTCTCAAATTTAATTAACTAAAACATCAACACTCAAAATGAAATAATAATTTAACTAAATTTTTCACTAAATTTGACTTCTTGATGTTTTAAATAATTCAAAATCTCAAATTTGTCATAAGTCCCCTAATATATAAATGGAAATAATAATTTAAGAAATTTAAATAGAATGAAATTGATAAAAGGTTTAAATTTGTTTCATTAAAAAAAAAAACTGGCTTCAAAAAATTAAGACTGAAATTCCACACGATCTAAGTTGTTTTAAAAAAAAGTATAATTAAGTCAAGGAATTATATATCAAGTATTTATATTGAAAAGTATATTTATTGCGATGGAATATACATTACTGCTGTAATGCTCTGTTAATTTAGCATTTAACATTCAGTTGTAAGTATTGTTAGGTTTATTAATTTACGATTAAAAATTAATTAATTTTGAACAAAACTTAATTGTAAGTGTGTGACAGTATTTTAGATATCTTTTAATAAAAAATCAAGTTTTAGTTTGATAATCAGTATTAATTTTAATGTTAATTTTTATTATGCACGTAATTATGATATCGTAAGTAAATTTTAGATAAAAAAAATGCTTAAGATATAGCAACTAAATTTTATCTTTAAAGTTTTAATTCTTATGTGGCATGGAAGTGTCACTCTTTTACTCAGTTTAATCATAAAAAGTAGATTGTTGTTCCTTTAATTAAAATATACATTGAAGGAAACTATGTAGAACTAATTATTTGACAATAATGAAAATATGATTTTATTATTATTGCTAAGACATCCATACAATTTATATCTTTAAATCTACTTTTTTTCTTCTTTTAATCCCGCGCTAGATTTTACAGACTAAATTTTCATTTTTCTAAAAGATAATGATATGTGTACTCGAAAGAATTTATAGCATTTTAAATTTCATATAAAATAAGTATCTTGATTAGTCGGTATAAATGTCATTTAAAAAAATATTGATTGCAATTAAAAATATTTAAGTTACTGTTAATTCTAAATTTTATGTAATAAAATATTAAAACACTTCAAGCTTTTTTTTCTGTTTTAGTTTTTTATTTTTAAAAAATATATTTTAAAAAAATAAAATTTTATTAATAAACAAATTTTTCATTTTTTTACTTAAAAAAGAATATTTTTAAAAATAGAAAATAAATAAACTCTTAAACTCCTGCATTTTATGCGATTTTTCCATTTACTATTTTTCAAGAGAATTGTAAGTGTCACGCTTTAATTTTTATATACTTGTTTGAAATTATTAAATTTAGAAATTTGTTTAATTAATTATTTTTACGCGTACATAATTAAATGAGCACATTAAATCCGTCCACATTTGATACTTTTTAGTTAAAATAATGTTTCACAATTAAACAAATTCACATTTTAACTTTTAAAATAAAAGAGTCAATTTTTATGATCTAAAACAATTAATTGACTTCACATGACTAGTTCTTCGATTTTCTATGGATATTTAACTTGAAATTACATGATTATTTTAGATGTGTTAAATAAAAAGGAAAAAAATTGAAAGTCATTTAACACCATTTCAAAAAATAACTAATAAAATTATTACATTATCTTTTCTATATACATAGGAACTTTCTTTTAAAAATAGTTAGAGAAATATTCCTAAACTAACAAGAAAGGAATATTAAATTTTATTAGAACTAGTTAATAGTTCATACAACACACACGTGCATTTTATTTTTATAAAATTATTATAATTAACTAAAAACGGATGCAAGAAAGAATATATATTTGAAAATAATGTCAATTTTGAGAAAAAATAAAAATGATAAATTGTATAATTTGTAATAGTTTTTTTTATAAAACTAAACATAGCTGAAAGCTTAAACTATAAGTAGTACCAATAATAAATTCATTTTTTAAATTTTATAAATATAAATATTTATATTTATATAAAATTTGAAAATTTATAAGATAATAATTTTGTATACATATAAACATAAGCATTTATAAAAAAATAAATTTATATAAGATAATTAAAAAATATATAAATAATTTTTATTTTTAAAATTTAGTATAAAATTAAAAAATTATTAAAACAAAAAATATTATAATTTACACATAATTTTTAATTAGTTTTAATAGTAAAAATATACATGAATAGTTATAAAATAAATTAATTTTATTTTTTAAATAATAAATTCTCATCTATAATATAAAATTTAATATTATAAATAAAAATAATTAATGACATTGTAATTTATATTTTTATAACAGTCAAAGGTAGTAAAAAAAGAAAAGAAAAAGTGAAAAATAAAATATATGACGTGGGAGAGAATAATAGCGCGGGTAATAACGCATGAAGGAGGTGCCCAGGACGAGTGTTTTAAAGTAGTCTCTGAACTCCAAAGCGTATAGCGCAAAATCTGAGTAACGAGTAGCATTCTTGTTCTGCAAATTAAAGACGCCATAACCATTACTCTAAACTATTAACCACCATGCGATGCTTCTTGTCAAAGTCAAACCCCTTCTTCTTTCTTCTTCTCTTCTCCCTCTTTATCTTTTTCATCAACACGTTACGTGTGGCTGCGCCAGGTTCTTTCCTTTCTTCTTTCTTTCATGATTCTCCAAGATTAATTAATCCCTTTTCCTTTTTCTAAATCAGCGTTCTGTTTTTAGATGGCACTGAAATTGAAGAGGTGGTGGCATGGAAGACGACGAGGAGATCAATGGCGGAGGCGAATGAGACTCTGGTGCTTGCTAAGGAAAGAACTCGCCGCAAAGATATTTTTCACCACTTTCAAGTTTACAATGGTGGTTGGAATATCAGCAATGACGGTTATATTTCGGTTAGTCTCATTCTAAGAACTCATATTTGAATCACGCGCTTTTCACGCGTGTTTGCATGCTTCTCTTCTCTATCCTTCTTTTTAATTCACCATTCTAGCGTTAAGAGCGCTTCTTCCTGCTCATTATATGCAAATGCGTTATTTTTGTGAAAAAGAAACAACATTGTTTGGTAGCGCCCTGAAAAACAATGGTTTTTGTGAAAATTTTCATGGCGGGATATAAACAAGAATATAAAATAAAAAAACAATAATAATTAACATCTTTATCAAATACTCATTTACTAAAAAGTGACTTCCTTTTTTTGTTTTTCTTTCTTTAACATTAAATAACTATTAAAATTTTTTATTATTATTATTATTATTATTATTATTATCTTTTTACTCATATTTTTCATTTCTTCGTCTTTCTTTCTATTTTCTTTCTCAAACTAAATAAATTATAAACTTTTATCTTTGAATTTCAGCTTCTTTTTTTAAATTTACAGTACTCTAATTTTTTATTATTATTTCCGATTAAATTTAAATTTCAGTTCAACAATTTACATCTACACTTGATGCTAATCTTTATTAATTGTATTATCAAGTATAATGCTATTTTTAATTACAAAATAATACCTTTTTTCGGATTTTATAACCAGTGTTTACTACTACACTTTTTCCTCTCTTCTTGATTGTCATAATATTAATGCAAAATATGCTAACATGAAATCGTTCTTACCATGGTGCAGTCAGTTCTTTCTACAGCAGTTCCTTTCTTTGCAGTGGCTGTAGCTTGGTTTGTGATTTTTGGACTATTTTTACTTATCATGTGTTCGTGTTACTGCTGTTGTAGCGGAGAGCCAAGTGACTATTCTAAACCAGTCCTTGTTTTTTCCTTGATCTTCCTTATCCTTTGCACCATTGCAGCAATGTATCTCTCTCGATCACTCTCTCTGCGTATATCTATCTATCTTTAGAATAAAATATATATGTTGTGTCTAATATATATATATATGTGTGTGTATTTGATTATGATAGAGGTGGATGCATTGTCCTGTACAGTGGTCAAGGGGAACTCGGTGAAAGCACCTCGAAAACACTTGATTACATTGTGAGTCAGGCTCAATTCGTAGCTGAAAACCTTAAGAACGCGTCAAGTTATTTTGATTCAGCTAAGAAGCTTATAAATGGAGTTACTCTGCCACTGGATCTTGGAAAGGACATTGATCATGTCAAATCGAAAATCACCACTGCTGCTGATGATCTCTCCAAGAAGACTGAAGATAATTCAACGGTGATACACCAAGGCATAGATGGAATGTAAGTATCACTCAGTACATACAGGTTGTGGGTTTTGATTTATTTTTTTTATTTTTTTTTCGAATTAATTATTACTTGTTATGAGTTATGAATATCTGCAGGAGACTGGCTCTTATTGTTGTCGCTGCTGTTATGCTCTTCGTTGCATTTCTCGGATTCTGTATGTTTGTTTTCTTGCTCTTATGTGATTGTTTGCCAAAGAATGATCTCATTTTTGCCTGTGTTAATTTTGACCAAACTTCTTGCAGTGCTTTCCGTACTTGGGTTGGAGTATCTTGTATACTTGTAAGTTGAATTCATTGAGCTAATTTCTTTTCTTTATCTTCTGGATTTTTAAATTAATCATGGGTTTGTGTCCTATGGCTGCAGTTTGGTAGTTATTGGATGGATTCTTGTTGCCAGCACCTTTATACTTTGTGGTGTATTTCTTTTTGTTCATAAGTAAGTTCCTGTTTGCTTGTCAAATTTGTTGCCAATTTATTTTAATTTATAATGTCATTATGCATGGATGTTCTTCCAGATAACGTTCATTAGTCTGAGAATTTGGCGCCAATCGGGAGCCTGGTTGACTGTTCTCAATTAAATGATCGAAGCTTTGACAGTTTTTTTTTTCACACCCATGCTTATGTTTTCCATTCTTGAAGGAATATTAGATAACAAAAAACTTTGAAACCGTAAAAAAAAATTAAACAAATGTAAGTTTAAAGTGTAAGTAATTGCACCTTGATTAAAAAAAGAATTTTTTTTATTTTTATTTTTTTTTGTAAATAGCCGTCATTATTATATCAATTCCGTCATGGCTACTTCCATTTCATTTAGCAATGTTGCCGTTGCATGTGTAAAATATTAATAGAAATCTAACTTTATTGCATATTTTTCACTAGCGCTATGGGCGATGCATGCGTTGCCATGGATGAGTGGGTTCTGAACCCTACTGCTCATACAGCCTTGGATGAAATTCTTCCATGCGTGGAGAATGCAACTGCAACAGAAACCTTTTCACAAAGCAAGGCTGTGACACATAAGATTGTTGAATCATTTGACGGAATCATTTCCGCTGTCACAAATGGAAACACCGTCCATTACAATCAATCAGGTCCCCTTGTGCCTCTTCTCTGCGATCCATTTAGTAGTGACTTCACAGTTCGACAGTGTGCAGCTGGGGAAGTTACATTGGAAAACGCTACTGAGGTTAGGATTATTTAAGATTATAAATCATAAATCAATATGCAAATTTCACCCATAAGTTACGGGGCATTCAATCTACATTTAAATTTTTTTAATTACTCTAAAAAATAAGTATTCAATAATTTAAACTCTTAAGATAGATACCAAAATTTTTGAATTCAAATTTTTTAAAACCTTCAATTAGTTTTTAATCTTTAATATTGAGATTTTGTGTCATGCAGGTGTGGAAGAATTATATTTGTCAAGTTTCTTCATCTGGCCGATGTACGAGTCGTGGCCGTTTGACCCCCACCATATACACTGAACTAGCAGATGCAGTGAATGTAACCTATGGTTTATTTCATCATTATGGCCCATTTTTCATTGATTTAGTAGACTGCACTTTTGTCCGGAAAACATTCGCAGACATTAGCAGCAATTATTGCCCTGGTCTGCGGAAATATACTAAATGGATTTATTTTGGATCACTTGTGGTTTCTGTAGCTGTAATGCTCTCTTTGATATTTTGTATTGTCTATGTAAGAGAGTGGCGGCATCGTCTTCATGCCATGTTGTCCTTGCCCATGTTAATGTAAAGAGCTTTGATATGATAGTGAACCAGGGGACAAGTCAGAATCCATTTGAAAAGTTAGCGGCATGCAATACTTGATATATTATTCTTATATATTATAAGGCATTCAATTTATATTTTAGTTATAAATATATGTATAATAATTTTTAAGTTAGTTATAATTTCAATTTATATTTTTATAATCAATGGTTATTATTGGTGCAATTTATCTGAAATCACCATGCTATTATTTATCTATTTTGTCAAGCAACATATTATCTATATAAGACCCGATTTATTTTTTAAAGGGGTTCAATAAGACCCTTTTTGACCTATCTGGCAATGTCTATGGGCTATGTATAGGCCAAAAATTATTTGATCATGGACACAAGTTTGACGCTAAGGAAAAAAAAACACATTCATCTTTAGGTGGGCCTTGCTTGTGTGACTTGATGCAGACCGTAAAACAACCAATGATCCTGTTTGCTTGACCCTGTTCAACTACGAACTCGAAAAGAATTTTTTAAAACCGTATGCCACTGTTTACCCCCATCAAGTCAATTTCCTAGTATAGGACATTAGGAATTATAGGGGGAGAAATATCCAACATTAAAACTGAAATGCAGGGCTGTGCTATTCTTTGTTGAGAGTTATATGATATGTTTGGACGAGGGAAAAAGATAAAAATAAAAAAGAAAGAAAGAAATAGCATAGAAATGAAATAAAATAAAATAATATATTATTTTGATATATATAAAAAAAACAAGATTAACTATTGATACAGATGGATTGATGTTATGTGACACAGTACTTATAAACATACGTTAAATATAAGAAAATAGAAACAAAATAAGAAAATAATATTCTGAATTAAATAGTATTTTTAATTAAAAAAAATATAAATTAAAACATAAAAAATGAATGCCTGTGATTTTTTTTAGTTCTGAAAAACCCAACTTAATTTAATAGATAGAAAATTATTTTAATAGCTTATAAATATTGTATTGTTTAATATTAGTTGAAAAAATAAATAGTAAATAATGAAATTAAGAGTAAAAGATAAGTTTAACTTGGACAGGAAATTGGTAGGGACTAAAACAAAGCTCCTAATGCAACGTGTTGTGACCCATATTCGTTAAAGAATAAATTAAATCATTACAGATTGATATTTGGAACAAATTTGAATCCACCCCACTGCTAGCTAGCTAACTCTGGGACCGCATGCCGTGATTTGAGGGACGCGTATTGTCATCTTTCTGTGTTAGGATGGGAAATGGGAATGATCCATCCATTAACATGCATTCATTCCTTACATTATCTGTTTTCTGATAAAGAAACTCTCTTTTTGGTACATTGGACTTTGGCAACGTATCGGTCCAAGGTTAGGATCACATTTATTATTGTTGTGTCGGAGTGTAAGAGTGTTTAATACAGCAAATGATCTAAATAGATACCCTCATGCACCTTCATTCTTAATGGTGTTTGATGCTTCATTACTTGAAAAGGTACCAAAAATAGGGCAAATAAGTATTTTTAAAAGCTTAATGGGAAACATTTGGACCTAATCTTCTCGCCCAAGAAAGAAAAATCAACAACGCAAGTAGTCCACTCTATTTGACCGAAAAGTCCTTTACACTGCCATGACTAATACTTTATGATTCGACAATCTACCATCGCATACAAGTCTTGATGTAATTAATTATATCCAATGATGGACTTGTTCAAGGAAGAAAAAAAGAGATCATCGATATTTTCACATTTTTTTACACTTTTTAATTAAAAAAATAGAGTAAAAATGAGGAATATATATATATATATATATATAAAATTTTGGTGAAGTAGAAAGACTAATTTAGCCTTGTAGAAAGAGTTCACCGCAAATGAAAAAGATATATTTGGAAATGAACACAGGGCCCAAGAATTTCCTATAAAATTGCTGAAGCAACCCGCTAACTTACTAAGAATTCCTACTCAAACAGGAGGCCATCAAAGTGCTTACCTAATATAACAGAAGAACCCACCTTCAAGAACCTCCCATTCGCTTTAACTTTCCCTCAAAAACCATAAAAAGGAAAACCAGACTCTTCACATATATACTTTCTTAACTATGGCCTCAAGAAACCCTTCGTTCACAACAAGGTCCCAACAATCCCACACAAACCCACCATCACGCACGTGCTTGTGCTCACCCACCACACACCCTGGCTCCTTCCGGTGTAGCGTGCACAAGAAGCCACCCCGAGTGCTGCCTCGAGCTCCTTCCTCCAACACTCGTCACTGGGAATCATCGTCATCCATTGCTTCCAAAGCTAATTCATTGAAGGCAATTCTCCTGCAAATAATCAAACCCTCTAACCATGATCTTCATAGAAAAAAGACTTTCCAACCAAAACCTTCTCGCTTTTGTTTGATGAACGGTAACGGAGACGCTGTTGCAGTTTCTTGATCACAAATTAGTATACTATCATCTTTTTTCTGATGTAATATTTGTGAATATAAGATGGGCTCTCTTGTTCCCCCCCTTTTCTTACCTTTTTTTTGTGGGGTAATAATAAAGAGTGTATGTATAATCTGAAGATATATGTGTGTATATTAGGTTTTGCATGTGTGTGATGTGGTATAGAATGACAAGAAATCGGAGTTTTCCATTGGAAGATTGTAATGGAAATAACATTGAAGTGGAATTTGTATAAACTGCACATATATAATAATTATACTAAGTTCTGACGACGTTCTTTTTATTTTATTTTCTTTTCAGATAGGTAATTGCATTATGCTTTAGTTTTTTATTTTTTCAATTTAACGTAATTTTTGAAGGGGAATTTCTTGGGTTGCAGTTATCATTACAATATTTTGTAAAAGAGATGGATGGGTTGTACAACATTTATGCCCTGTAGCTGTATTAATTCTCAGAAATATTATGCCGTGATTAAGCTTGCAAGCATGTTACTTAGGATGTTTGGATGAGGTGGACCACTTCTAGTTTTTGCTTCTTTTTTGTACACTTCGATGCAATTTCAACTAACAGGTGCCATCTAGTCTTATATAAAAGAAAAATACATTTTCTTTCACATCTTTTGAGTGTATATTCTTTGCAAAATACAAGAAGAGAAAATAAATAGAAAATTTTAAAATTAAAATATATCAAAATACTAGAGTACAAAAAAATCAAATTATATATTAGAATAGATTAATTAAACATCTATGTAAAAAAAAAAAAAAAACCCACTTAAGAAATTAAGAACATACTATAATAAAAAAATAAAAATGTTTGGTAATATTTTTTGGGGTGTATATATCTTGAGAGATAGAAATAAATAAAAGAAAAAAAAAACAAGAAAAATAATATATATGAAGATGATGTAAGGTGATAAAGAAAAGAAAAGAAATCGTTAAATGTAAGTGTAATATTATATTATTTAAATGTTTGTAAATTATATATTGAGAGAGGGAAGAAATTATAAACAGTTGACTTCCATTAATTTATTTATATTTTATCAAAAATTTATTTCCCTACATGTATAGTCCACTGCATCGTTTGTGTCTGTAAATTCATAGTTGCAAAATTTAAGCTATTTTTTGGTTTGATTTTCACTTTCTGCAACCATTTGTGATTAAGCTAAGTGGGTTTTCATTTTGTCTTTTCAACAAAATATTTCCAATTCTATTGGCAAATTGTTACTTAGATTGGAAATTTCACACTACCACCACGTACCTACTGAATCAACAAACGAATAACTTTAGTTAAGAAAACAAAAACAAAGCAGAAAAAAACAGTGATTACAGTTGGCAGATATATCTGCAACTATATATAAGTCGGTTCATATAGGTAATGTCATGGTGGATAAGATCATAATTATTATTAAATTGGACTGATCAACCAACATTATTGGTGAAATTTGCTACCTAATTTACTTTCCTCGAGACAAAATAGATGTCACTTCTAATGACTGACTAATTAGCAATGTTATATCAAATTATCTATGTAGAAGCGCCTTCCCGCTTATTCCTTTGGTTGATATCGAAAATGTAAAAATATTTACATCAAATAGAATTAGATGGACGCCAATATTATATGTAAAAATAAGATAAGATCAAGGTATAACAATACAATTATTATATTATTATACATGCCAACTTGCCTAGAGTACTAGTTAATTTATACAGATTCTCTCTCAAGTGTTATACATTGGTTATATTTTGACCAAAAAACTAAGAATGTGCATTTATAATTCTGAATCACTAACTAAAGCTCCTGCATCATTACTTATCATTAGAGTTTCACTAAAGCTGACCCCATCAGAGTTTCACTAAAGCTGACCCCATCATTCACCCCAATTCAACAATAATGGTACATCTGACTTTAATTATAAACATAGTTTAGAAATTAAAATTTACTCTAAGTGTCACAAAATATTTGTTAAAATAAAATATTTTAAAACAAATTTTACACCGTCTTGTAAAGAAGAGAAATACAAAGTTCACACATTAACGCTGAGTCTTTATTTCATATGGCATGAATAAAAAATATTCTAATTTTAATTAGACAATTTTTATACTTTTGTTTTATAGTGTTGTAAAGTGTTCAAATATTAATTTCATTTGAAAAGTGTAAGATTGTCAAGAGAGAAGGTCTATTTATTATTAAAAATTTTACATAATAATTCTTTTGTGTGGTCCTTAAACATCGGTTGTAAATTTTTTTTTAATTTTAAAATTTTTACATTAATTATTATGTTGAGATTGTGATTATAATTTCTCTATTTGAAAAAAAAAAAGGAGAGCTCTCGTTGTTTTCAACAATATCCTTCATTTAAAATGGAAAGCCTGAGATTTTTTTTTTATTATTAACCTTATCTTTTCGATTTGAAAAGAGAGGCTTTCATACGTTTCTGGAAAAAGTTCCGCAGTTAGATAATTAAAATAATCAAATTAAAGGGAATCAATGAGATATTAACAGAATAAGATGATGCTTCAGCTTGAAAAAATGCATCCCTAGATTACTAGCCGCAGTGTAACTCCACC